TTTTGTAATATCTAATCCTGGTTGGTGGGCTGATTTTTAAACCATGTGATCAGCATTTATCGATAACTCTCATAAATGTTGGTTTATATTTATCTAATAAAAGTTTTATCTATTCTAATTTAATATCTTTTGTTTAAAGCTTTGATAATTAAATGTTTATTCAATTCCAGAAAGTTTTGGATAGTTCACTGAGACAGGTGAACATGGTCCCTGGAAACTATTAAACTTTGTTTGTAAAAGATTAATTAGTTAATGTTCCACAGAACTGTGGCGACCTCTGTAACTCTGAATGATTTTATTTTAACAGTTTAAAGATTAACTAAGCCCTGTTTCACTAACTTATAGTTTCAAATCGTGACAATAATTTAAAAAACTTGTTTTACAACTGTCGGAAATTTTGGAAATGAGTTAATTATCATGGAAACTATTAAGACTTTGTTTGTAAAAGATTAATTAGTTAATGTTCTACAGAACTGTGGCGACCTCTGTAATTCTGAATGATTTTATTTTTAACAGTTTAAAAGATTAACTAAGCCCTGTTTCAAATCGTAGCAATTATTTAAAAAAAAAAAAACCTTGTTTTACAACTATTGGAAATTTTGGAAATGAGTTAATTAATGATTGTGCCTCAGAGCGGAGGAAACCTCACCAACTCAGTATTTTAGTGGTGCAAACTTAAGCTTACAGATTCACTCGTATTCTCATTCATAATTTTTCATTATAACATTAAGAGATAAAGTAAATATTGAATATTAGATTGCAGTACTTAAGTGGCAAATTTAAGTGGAAATAATTTTCTCACAAATTATCCAAAACCAACAATAAACTAGCGAATTCAAGGAACTTATTGTAGGTGTAAATAATTTAATCACGGTTGAACAAAATAGAAGAAACCTGAATTATTTAATATGGGAATCCAGACAAGGTTCCGATAATGATTAAGTACAGATTACCTTAACTATCTTTTATTTTGGGAAATCAATGTTAATATCTTTATTGAGGTTTGATATCAAACAACTGTACAATTTATGGAGAAAGATACTCTTTACTTTTACCACCTGTCATGTTTGTGGGGCGCACAGTGTTTTGTCTTAAGAACATTATGAAATTAATTCATTAATGATTTCAGTTCTGAGAATTGAGTGAGGCATTTCTACAAAGTTGCGTTTTAGAAAACTCTAGTTTGTTAGTTATTTATTTAATTAGGTGGAAGGCACTTGATTTCTTTTTCTTTTTAGAAGGTTTCTTTAGGGGGGGGGGGAAAATCCTGGTTACCATCTCTAGGTTTGTTCATCCCCCCCCCCTAATTTTTCTCATACTAGTCGCACAGTTGGTATTTTGACAGCACTCTAAGAAATTCCAAATTTTCATCTAACAAAATTTGTTAGAGCACCAGACTCAAATACACCTTAGAAGAATCATTCGTCAAATTTTGTTGAATGTATTTTCAGTCGCCTTAATTCATAGTTTGTTACATGATCTATAAACCGGTGTTTGTCCGCTCGCTGTGCCGCGCCTCCATTCAATTATCATCTCACAAATTTTGTTTTATGTTGATTCAACCAGTACCACTGCGCGGTTTAAAAATTAGCATGCGTCAAAATTTGTTGGATGTCCCTTCAACTTACTGCGCAACTATGTAATCATTTGTTATATGATTATTCAGCTTTGAATCTTGACCCGTCAAAAGAGGTTGTTACAGGTGGCGCCACCTATTCTCTCAATATTTGTTTTAACTAGATTCAAAGTTTGTTACATAATTCCGGCTGTTATGTAAAATTTCAATTTTTTATACAATTTATTAGTTTTTAAAACGCATAAATTTGCAAAAATGCAATTGATAAAAATAAAGATTTAAACTTCATAAGTTTAAAGTTTATCACATTTTTTTATAATACAAATACATGAGGCAGAAATATAAGATCTTAATACAAATCTTTAAAGTAACATGCAGCATAAGTTTTGCTGTTTATAATACACTTTATTACAATTCAAAGCTTAAAGAACTGGGCATCAATTAATCACCAATTTAGACAACATTTGATTCTTGTAGAAGTAGATTCTGCAGTCTGAATTATGGAAGATTTGGTTTTGCATTGATACTCTCTTTCAAGCAAAGCATTTTAAATGCAAGCATTGGTTTGAGAGAGTGTACAAAGCTGCTTCATTTTGTTCTTCCAGTTTCTTGGAGGTTTCCCTTTAAATCTTTTTGATATCTCCAAATTTCCAGATCGAATTGATGTAGGTGTAAGCACTGTCAGCTAACAGACTAAACTGTCACTAATTAGAAAGTCAGCTGATCCTCCCCCTCCAGCCAGCCGTGCAAGCCGTGCTAGCCCGGCAGATGGTTCAACGTTTGATTGATCATAAATCAAATTTCAAAATTTGTTTAATCTTACACTAACTAAAATATCAGCTAATTACAATGAAAGAAAACTGTCACATGACAAAAGAAAGATGTCATATAACAAAGTTTGACACATTCTGAGAATACAATGTGTAAGCTATTAACAAGTTTTGTTAGATTGTAATTTTGGAAAATGTTTAACAAAATTTGAGTAATGAAAGAAGAAATTTGAAATATAAAAGAAGAAGAACTTTGATGCCTGATGCTAAAGACCAAAATTGCATTTTTTAGAGTGAGGCTTCAGTCAGTTTGTACTAAATGCATTCGCATATTGGAATGAGCTAAGGGTGAGATCCGCAAACCTAGAGCTCCCTGATCTACCTCCTCCAAAGGTTTTCAAGCCTAAATATGACCTTCTCATCAACTTAGCTGCCTTCACCAAAGTGTTGGGTTATAACTGTTAGATTAGTTAGCTGTCTCTTAGGATGGGTAGGGGTACTGGGACTCGGCTTTGCCTATTTTGGGTTATTATACTTGGCTTGCCAGTTTTCACACCCAGAGCTTAGGTGTTTGGCTAGCCTTCTTTTTATTGTACTGGTTCAGCTGACCATGTAGGCTGGTCACCTGAGCTAGATATACAGCCCTGTCCCTGTTCGCACCCCCTTTGTTCAGGTCACCAACTACAAGCTGACTGCTGCCAGTTGGTTGCCTGGGCCTGTCCCTATCCTGTTCCTCCCTCTCTTCCTTAGGTCTCTCCCCTGGCCTCTGCTCTTGCACTTCTCCAGGTGAGTCAACTGTTCATATACCTTTTAAAAAACTTTTGTCTTCTTAAAGTAAACTTAATTTGTTACAATCTACATTTTGTTATTGTGTTTTGTTAATATAAGTTCAATTATCTAAATTGCAGATATTTGAAAAAATTCCGTTTCTTTCTACTTTTTCTATTCTAGGTCTATTTGAATAGATTTAATAGATTATTAAAAAATGATTTTTAATAATTTTAAATTTTCAATAATTTTCATTTTTTTCAAACATTTGAAATAATAGTTTTTTAATTGCAGAAGTAACAATAAGTTATGTGTTCATGCTCGATTTTTTTAAAACCAATTATTATGAAAGGAGAAAGAAGTTTTTTTTCATAAAAGCAGTAATCTAGTTTTGCTCCCTAATAACCAACCAACTTGCACTTATTATTTATGTAGCAGTTCAGTTTGAATCAAAGTTATCAGTTCAGAAATTATTTTCTTGTTAAAGCATGTTGGAGCTACCAGAATTGAGTCTCAAAATCAGTTAAATTTCAAAATTTTAAGTGTAAAGAAAATACCTTACACCATTTTAACGGCTTTTTTTCTCCAATTACATCTATGAGGAGCAAAGAAGAATTTCTTAACATTGATTTGAGAATTCTAGAAATTAGTTTTTATTTTCTATAGCTTGCTTGAAACTGGAGATATGACGGTTAGCCTTGCAAATTTTTATGAAAAAAAGGATTTTATCAATTAATCATTATTGTGTGAGAAGACATGTTAACATTTAAAATCATTAACGCATTCTTATTATCAAGAACACTTTCTAAGTCAAGAACGCATTTGAAATTTGGAATGTGTTTTAAATAATTAAAAGATTTTTTTTGATTTGATCACCTGAACCCACCCCCCTAGCCCTTCCCCTCCCCCTTTCTAAACAATTAAATTAAAAGCCTGGTATAGGTTGGAATAATCTACTTTAAACTCATATTAGAATTTATTAAATTGAAATAGCTTTTCATCTAGCAAAAGGAAACAGGGCTTGCAGATTTACATTCTTCTATTTAGACATTCAGATTCAGTAAGATCTGTGTATACTGTAAAACTTAAAAAGGATATTAATTGGCCAATTGGCTGCCTTTCTTTTTTTACAAAATTAGTTTCACCCCTTAAAATAATAGGGAAAATGTATTCCATCCTTTTAGGCCAGAAGAGCTTTTCTATTTGTAATAGTAAAAGAAAGACACTTTCATCATTAATGATCTTATGAGATGTATTTGGTCTCAATTAAAAAGAAAACAGCTTTTTACAATTAATAGAAAGTTGCCCAGGCCTACCTCTAGATAATTGTGGGAATAAGTAGATTTAAAATTTATACAATTCTTATCTTCTCCATATTTTTTATGTCAGAAGGATTAAATTAAAATTTTTGTAGATTTTTGAGATTAGATTGGTGGAATTTCAAAATTAATATATGTAATAAAGATTTTCTCAGTAAATATTTTTCAATTTCTTCCAGCCTTGTCATGTCATGTAAGTTGGCACACAAAATTATGACCTTGTGCAGTTCTTCCTATCTTTTTTTTAACAAAAGACTGAGTTATTGACACAAACACAAATTTTACAGCCTAATTTCAAGTTTCAATATTAAGTTTTTGATCTGACAGAACTTGCAGTTTAAAATATCAAAGATCTCTGACATTGGGTTGCAAAGATAAGACAAACTAAAAGTCATCGTTTGTCCTAAGAACTCAGTTCATTAAAAATAAAAAATTTTGTTCTCTTGTAAAACATCAATGATTTTAAAAGTTTTCTGCATTTTCTTTCATTTCAAAGGCGGTGTTTTCAATTGAAACATTGCTAATTGTAATTATCAATAATTAATTTTATTTTATTTTTGATTAATTCCGATAATAATTTCAGTCAATCATGAAGAATCAATTAGTACGGTCACTTTCTGTATTTACAGTTATACTGTCCCTAGGAATTTAAACATAAATCTATAAATATATTTATAATATGCTTTTCTATCCGGTTGTTTGAATCCATGACTGTCAAAACAACATAACCGTTTATACCAAAATTATTTTTTGTCATAGAAGGTAGTAGATGTTAAGAATTTTGCACATAATTGAATATTGACATTTTTTATTTTTTAAATGCTCCAATTTAATCAGAAAAATTGGCATACACAACTTCAGAAAAGCTGGCAGCCTGAAAAAGAATAAATAGACACAAAAATTTTTTATAAGAATTTTTCTAAGGGATTTTTCTTGTTAATCCATCCTTGGTTTAATTTTCTGAATGAAACCTTATTACAAAAATTTCATTTGTTTTAAAAAAATATCAAAAATTAGTTTTTTCAAAAATATAGTTCGTTCGAACTATACCCTTTATCTTCTGGCTATAATATTTACTTAAATATCTTGACCAATTAAAATGTGGGTATTTTTTCAGTTTGATTTGGTTTCCAATGTATCAATACCTTATTGTGAAATTATATTTAACTAATTAATATTCAATTATTAACTTTTGAGGTACAATTTCAAATCCTGATGAGAATTAAAATCTAGAACCTAAATTGTTTGAATTGGTTTAGGTGAGTCAAAAAAGTATCTCCTGGAAACAGATGGTCAGCCTGAAGGAGGTAAATATTATTTAAAGTGATAATCATGATGAATTCCAAGAAAAAGATAAGACTTGAATATGGACTATATTAGTTTGGAAGCAAAATTAAATCTTTGAACCTATGTTGTTTAATTAGTACTGGACAGATCCTTTCATGATGTCTTATTGAATTTAAAACACTAAGATATTTTTATAGTAGATCATTGCCCAACCTATACCATAGCAGTGGTATTTCCCTGTTTTTGCTTATCTAGTATCTTGATTGGTTCTTGCAAAAGACCTTGATGAAGTGTATGCAAAAGTTGTTGATCTTTCTGAAGAATTGAGAATGAAGACAATTTTCAAAAGTCTTAGAAAGTTGATTTTTAAGGTGCAGATGGAGATGACTACACATTTATATGTAAGCAAAAAAGAAATATTATTAAAAATCCTAATGCACCTAGTATTCACTGTGAATTTAGAAATGGAATAATAACTTACAAAACATTAATACTGGAGCTCCATCAAACTCCATCATAATCATTACAGGGGATATTAGTTCCAAAACTAACACTTGGCCCATTCATAACACTGAGTGTTAGAAATGGGCACAAATTGAAAGACTGGGTTTTTAGGATCCCATCCCATAACAAGAGTAAAAGTCGATAGTTAAAATCATAAGCAACATTTTATTAAGCAAGACAAGGACAACAATTCTTAATTCAAAACTATTTTCTGGAATCAAAAATATATAAGGATGTCTTTTTATATTAAACCCTTGACTGTTTTCATGACAATGTCAGGTTTTCCATTTTCGAACAAATTGTAAACAAGGATAAGGCTTACTTGTACATAAACTGTAATCAATGATTAGTTTAAAGTCGACATTTCTTGTTTCAAAAATTAGTTTTAGCCATCTTTAATAAATGTATGGTATAAAATGGGCCAAGTGTTAATTTTGGATCTAATTTCCCCTGCATTAGAAAACATTTACTAAAATATCTAATTTGCTCCAAATTATTCCTGTTTATTTATCATCATAATCAAAAACATTGAATGCAAAACAATCTTTATTTTAATTTGATTAATTTTTAAACAATTTTTCATCTAACTGTTTGCTAAAAATATTGACTGTTTTAATTTGTTTCATTTAAACTATGTACTATTTTTTTATGAATATGCTGCTTGTTTTCATTTTTTTTCAGTTTAAGGACAAAATTTTCAAATTTTTTTGTTTTGTTTTGGCCATATTTATATATTTTCTTAATATCAAATAAGAAATCATCAGTTCCTGACATTTTATAACAATATATTATCTTCTTTTAGCTCCTGAGTGGATGGAAGAAGGTAAAATGAAATCAAGTGAAATTTCATCAAAAATTATCTTTTTATCCAGTGGCCGAATTTAATGAATTTGAGCGGCGGTTTAAATTTAAGCCACGGCTTAAATATGGTTGGTTCCACTTTAAATTGTATCAAATGTTTCAAGATTTAAGCCGGCGCTAAATTTAAACCAAGTTTTGGCGGATTTAAACCGCGGCTCAAATTCTTTAAATTCCATCTCAGATAGTATAATTCTGGGTTTAGCATTTGTTCCAATGTCAAACACTAAACCGCTAAGACGATGTCTAAAAAATATTACCAACCCAAATAAAGAATCATTATGATTTTTCTACCCCTCCCATTCAAAAAGGAATTTTTTGAATTGATTAAGTTTTGATAAAATATGGAAAGGTAAGTTCTTTTGAGTTTGTCAATGAAAATACCTAAACAGTTCCCTTTTTTCTGGTGATTCATGAAAATAATTAATTTAGTCCCTTGTGAAGAGCGTAGAGGTGAAGCCATGTGTCCTGAGGCTATGGTTTGCGAGATACAGAAATGCAAACAGAAACCATATGGTAAAGAATCATATTCTACTATTAAAATGTTTATTTTAACAAGCCCTTTGCTTACAGAAAGTAGGGGACGGGGGGTTGTAAATTGCATTTTATTTGCAATATAGGATGACTAGGCTTTTAGAGTGCTTCGTGCCCATATTCTATTTCATTGTGAATATTTTCTTTTTATATATTTTGTAAAACAACAAAAAAAAATTCACAGATTTAAAATTTTGTGGATTTTCAAAATTTAATGGAAATCAAGTTTGGTTGGAGGCTAATTTTTTTTAATTTTGATCATCCATTTCCTTTCCCTGGGGTCTTAGACAGACAAACAATGTATATATATATATATATATAAATGTATATCTGTTGAAGCCATAGATATTTATTTATCTATGGTTGAAGCTCTGTGAAAGAATTAAACATTTCTTAAACTATGTGTAAATCACAGGGAGGGGGAATTTAATTGCAAAACAGAAAGCAATTATTAACAAAACAGGGGAATGTCGATGATTATGAGAATGAGGGGGGAGGGGGATATTCCTCTCAATGGTCTCTCTGTTGAAAAATTTTAACTTTAAGGATTAGTTTTAAATCATATTTTTTTTGCAGAACCCGAACCATGGGATACCAAAGGTAATACAAAACATTTGAAATATGATTTAGATAAAATTTAAATTTTTTAATACTTTTCTGGTGATTGCAAACTTTTAATTCAAGGTTTTATTTACATTTAAAACAATTTTAATGAAGGCCTTTTCGAACACTGTACAATGAACTATAAATTGACGGAAATGGTTTTAATGAAAGAAAAAAAATGAAATTACATGAAACTATTGAGGCAAAACATCATTTATAGAAAAAATGTTTTATTATAGGAAATTATAGGATAAACATAGCAATTAGCAATATAACATATAAAGCAATAATAGGTCATTTTGAGGTTGACATTTGGATTTGATCAAAAATATGTTTTAAGGTTGTTACTCACAACATTATACTTTAAAGAATATTATAGCTTAATTTATAGTTTTCAAACCATTTTTGATTTTCCATGTATTTTGTTTGCCTTTAAACTGCGTGTTAACTTACAAATATTGTTTGTTCTGTAAACTTAATGTTATATTCTTGAAAACACTTTCCTTGTTTTTTACTCTATTTTTCTACTTTATTTCTTTTTATTTGTTTACAAACAATTCCAAATTCAACTAAATATCTGAAGTATATATTATAGTTAGCCGTATTAAAGATAATACATTTTATTTGATCAAATATTTTATATATTTTTCTTTTTCAAAAGATTAATTTTAAACCTAGTGACAAAGCATTGTAATATTTTAATTGTTTTAATGAGCTCTAGAAATATTTAGCAAGTTCAAATATGAAGAAATTTACATTATGCTGCCAAATATTATATAAAAGACATTTTTGACATCAATACAATTATTTAAAACTCCTTCAGGTTAAAGGACAAAGGGGGTTTGAGGATTTAAGATGGGGGGAGGGGGTAAAAGATATATTCGCTCGAAGCATGAAAAAAAATTTAAGTTTCTTTTACCTTTATAAGCACAGGGAAAGCAAATGTAATTCATATATCTAATAACAATAAAAAAATTATGGATTGAACTGTATTCAATAACATTAAACTAAATACATATCATATCATATTATTCTAATCAAGTGAAAATTATTTTTTATTTCTTGCTAATATTATTGATCTTTTAGTGAATAATGTTTATAAAATCATGCTAATTTTGCTTGCAGTAGACTGCAAGCAGTTTCTATGTTTATTTTTTACATTTTAAAATAAAAGTATACAGTAAAAAGGCTGAAAATATATAAAGAAATCTTTGTTTAAATAAAAAAAAAAAAAAATATCCTTCCTTCTTTCAATGTACAATAATTTAGTTTTCTTGGGCTGCTTAAAATTAAGTAAATTATATCATAAAGAAAAATATTTAGTTCCTTGTAAAGAACGTGTTGGCAACCTCACATGTCCTGAATTTGCAAAAATTTGCAAATAAGGTTATTGTCTGAATGAAAATGGTAATCATTAATTAATCAGTAACTAGGCTCTTTTAGGTTTTAAATGTTACTTTTCAAGTCTTATTTTTTTCTGTGATATTATATTAAAGTAAATGATATTTAAAATTCTTATTGATAAATAAAAAAAATAGAATTATGATATTCTTTGCTTGATATTCTAATTGATTTTTTAAATGCTAGAGGATCCCTGGATGGTCAGAGGTAAGACAAACAATTGAAAAACTAAAATATATTAACAATTTATGCTCTTTAGCAGAATAGTATAATTATGGTTGGATATGGGGTGTAATCTGCAATAGCAAAGATTCAATTGATTTTACTATTACACTGAAACTTTTATTAAAAAGGTGAATTTTTTTGCCATCTTCCCCCTCCAAAATTGTTTTCTTTGGTATTTCTTCAAAATATATACCCCTCCCAAATTGCTTTAACCTGATTAGGGGCTGGGGGTGGATCTGAATCTAGGCTTAGGGTAGAAATTTTCATGTTCACAGTCCAATTTTTCATTGATAATAAATTAGACCAATAACTTTAAAATTTGTGTGCTGAAGATGTTTAAAAAAAATCCCAAAAAAATCAGAAAAATGTGAGAAATATTCTTATTTGTTTTTGACAAATGTTTAGATGGCACACATGTTTTAACATTCATTTTTCAAGGGTAATTTTTGTATCTGTAGATCAAAAGAAACAACAAGATATGGGCAACTTTAGATTTTTTTACTTTGCATTAAAAAAATGTTGGCAAAAAATCCTTTAAATTATTATTCCTGAAAAGTAAAAAGAATTTAAGGTGATTGTGTCAAAACTGAAAGCTCATAGGGCAAAAACTGTAGGGGGGGGGGGGGGTGAGGGAAAACACAAAAAGGGCAAAAAAAATTTAAAAGTTTAAAATATTGTTGAAACTAGATATTCCATGTGCTGAGAGGACAGAGGAATTTGCATGTCCAGAACATTATAGTTGTAAAATTGACAACTGTGAACCAAGTAAGAAATTTTAGTGAAGAACAAATTTGACTGTTAAATTTGGTACCAGTACAAACGTTGGACCCACAAACGTCGCATGTTACAAAGGCCGGACAGTACAAACGTTGGACTTACAAATGTCGGATTGATACAAACATCCGACTGGTACAAACGTCGGACTGAGACAATTGTCGGACCAGTAGTACAATCATCTGACGTGTACATTTAAATGGAAAATCATCAAATTTGATCAAGTTAAATAAAAATATGCTTGCTATAAGAAGTAAAGTAAAAATCTGTCGCTTGTTGTGATAAAGATCAAAGACATCTAAATAAAGTCTCATCCTTCAAAGGTAGCACTGAATAAAACAACAGACCCAAAAGGAGTTGAGTTTAACTGTCACAAACTCTGATTTTGCAATGCCTATATCTTTGCCGATGTCATATAACCTTTAACATTTCAACATATGAAATCTTTTAATAATAAGAATAATTTTTTTCCTTAGTCTGACATTTGTACGGGTCTGACGTTTGTACTGGTCCAATGTTTGTACTGGTCCGATGTTTGTACTGTGCGACATTTGTCCCACTCTGATGTTTTAACTGGTCCAATGTTTGTCCTGGTCCGGCGTTAGTACTGTCCAACATATGTAAGTCTTAGGTTTGTACCGTCTGACATTTTGTTCAATAAATTATAGGTATAGTTAAAGGTATATGTGTACTTTATTGTGAAATTATCAAGGATCTTGATTAAAACCTACTCATAATAATTATTATCCTTGTTTATCCAATAAAAAGATTTAAAGTGCAACTTATAATTCTGAACTTGGCATAGAATCATAAATTATGACTAAACATATCATATAAACATAATCTTGTATAATTGCTAATACTAGTTCACAAAGGATGTGTCAGTTTAGAAAGCCGGAAATGCTGAGGATTGAAGAGGAACAAACCTGCGGCCAATAACTGAAAACATACATAGAATCAGTCACATAAGTTTTTAAAAGCATTTTTGAGCTAAGAATAAAAACCTATTTTATTTAGATGATTATGTGGCTTCAGGTCTGCCTAAAAAATATCTTGTGGAAACTGAAGATGAGGTTGAGAAAGACTCTCCCCAAGGTGGTTCTATAATTCTCTAAAATTTAAATTTATTCTTTTGTGCATCATTTTTTGATTATTTTTATATATTTGCTGTGTAATTTGGATGGCTTAAAGTTAAAAAAACAATTTCTAGGTTGTGCAGATTACCACTTTTATCACAATTGTAAAATGAATTGTTGAGTTACAAACTTTTTCTTTAATCAAACAACTTTCATCCCTTTTTATAATTGTTATATATTTATACATGAGGTCAACGCCTAAACCTGCTAGTTGATGCTAACCAGCAAACAAGTTATAATCGAGTTTAAAGGTGGAGTTTTTACTTGCAATAGTCGTGCCATATCTGGATAAAACTCGACTTTTCACCAAGTCAGGGGGTTGTAAAAATCGATGTCGACTGGATGATATCTGGACGAATCATGAATATGTTGGCACAGTAACTGGGATTCAAAAGTCGAGTTTAAGTTGAGTTTATTCACCCAGATTTCAACCAGTTGGTGACTTGGGTAAAAACTGGGAATAAAAAAGTGGAGTCTATGCACCCAGATTTCACCCAGCTGGTGGCTGGAGTTTAAAAGTGGAGTTAAAGTCGAATTTAAGTGGAGTTTTGAAGTGGACTTTTAAAATCCAAGTTTTCACCCTAACTTTGTACAAACTGAGATTCAAAAAGTCGAGTTTAAGTTATGCACCCAGATTTCTCCCAGCTGGTGACTGGAGTTTAAAAGGGGAGTTAAAGTCGAGGTTAAGTGGAGTGTTGAAATCCAAGTTTTTATCCTGACTTGGAAAAACCGGGATTTAAAATGTCAAGTTTAAGTTGAGTTTTTTTCAACCAGATTTCACCCAGCTTGTGACTTGGTAAAAACTGGGATTTTAAAAGTCGAGTTTATGTCGAGTTTGTGCACCCAGATTTCACCCAGTTGGTGACTGGAGTTCAAAAGTGGAGTTAAAGTTGAGTTGAAGTGGAGTTTTGAAGTGGAGTTTTGAAATCCAAGTTTTCACCCTGACTTAGTAAAAACTGGGATTCAAAAAGTCGAGTTTGAGTCGAGACTTTCACCCAGATTTCATCCAGTTGGTGACTGGAATTCAAAAGTGGAGTTAAAGTCGAGTTTAAGTGGAGTTTTGAAGTGGGGTTTAGGAAAACTAGTTATTATATAGTTGTATCATCCAGTTGTGTTTCCTGGGTAGGCCTTAAAATATTTGATTACAAAAGTAATGTTTCTATTACACCTTACTGTACGAGGGAGGGAAGCCCCCGACGCCATGAGTCTCCGCTATGCAAACACAAGCCTCCCAGAGTTGCTAGGCAGACCAAGCCTTCGCTTTGCAGAAATGAGCATGCGCAACACATCAAAATGTGTCTGTGTCATACAGGAGGTTTTTTTAAACTTGTGTTTTTAGTTTAAATAAAAGATTTTTTGAAATTTTTAGACATAGTGGCATGAGAGGCTTCTCAAAGATGAGGAATATTTATTTATTAATTATCATAAATAGTGCCTAATTATGACCAATAAAGTGGTATCTAAAACTTTAATGTTTTTTTTTACACGAAAAGGAAAAAGTTATTGTTTAAATCAAAGATTACAACAAAACAAACCAAGTTTACTCCAAAAATATTTCACTAAATATCTTCCTTTCAATGTAAGAAATGTTTAAAGTTTTAATATAAATATTATAAACCACTTTTTGAGTCCATATATGTTTCTAATCATGACAATCAATGAACAACTCTAATCTTTAGTAAAATTCTTATGCCACTACGTCAAAAAAAATTGTTAAAAGGTTTCATCACTCATAAAAACCAAGATTTTAAAACAGCTGTGCTGCATGGTGGAGGCTCGTTTACTGCATAGTGGAGGCACGGCTTGCATAACGTAGGCTTTGTCTGCATAGTGGAGGCTCGGTCTGCCTAGCGGATTTGGGAGGCTTGATGTCTGCATAGCAGAGGCTCATGGCGTCCAGGGGTTCCATCTCTAACTGTACAGTATAGAATGTACATGCAATAATAAAAAAAATTTATTAGACATCTTCTGCAAGACATTTCAAGATTGTCCCAAGAATTATGATTGTCGAGACAACATGTGTTCATACAGTGTGCTTCACTAATCTATAGGTAGGACTGAGCATGTTCCTATTTCTTTTATAAAAAGTTGCTCCTTTTTCTAGACCAAAGGCCTTCAGCTTGGTGGTTTGTTCCTCATTGGTTCTTTTTCCAATCATTCTATCCCTGTTCTGTTCCCTGTCCTACCAGCCGTAGTCGTTAATGGATAATCGTTAAAGATAAAGAACATTGACAATTTTAATTGTTCCTAGTTTTGAACAAGGGTTTTCAGAAAAAGTAGTCCATTGTTTTTTTTTACACTTTGATCTACAGATCAAAAGCTTGAAAATCCCGTCAAAAATGGATTCAATAACAAGTGTCCCATGTCAATACTTTTTGAAAATTTGTCCGACCCACTCTTGGATTTTTTAAAGAACTTCCGTTGCATCCTTACCATTGAAGTAAGAGGTCTATATTTTAATGAGTTGCCCTTGAAAAGTCAAATTAAGAGCATGTTTCACACTCATATTCCCCCACCCTCTATATCAGACCAAAAGGAATTAAGTCTTTGCCACAAACTCAAAAAAACTGTGTTTTTTTTTCGAAACGATGGCATAATTCTTGAATAATTCTGTTCATTCCTACAAAAGAACAATTTTTCCCCAATGCTAAGCCCTATTTATAGGCTGCTACAGCAAATAGTATGCAGTTCAGTCTAAAGACATGGCATAACAGCAAATCTGGAAACTTAACTGAAATGATATAAAACATTGTAGCGTATTTAAAATAAATAAATAAAAGCTTATATTGTAGCTATTATTGTTAAATGTAAATGAAGTTTGTATCCTGTTATACTTCTAAAGTGGGATAATCATAAAGATAGGAAAAGTATGGTACTCTGACTCAGCACACTTAATTGTACTCACTCGAAGGCAATTGGCTAACTTGGTTAAGGTATAAATTAAGGACTTTAAATATTATTTTTAGTCCTTTTAACCAGTCTGAGAGCTTAATAATTTTTAATCTATATATAAATTTGGCTTGTCTGTCTGTTTGTATCCAATAAACGTCAAAACGGCTGAACCGATCGGGCCCAAATTTTTTGTGGGACATCTAGGGACCCCAGGGAAGGTTTATAAATGATTGAAATTTTAAATATTTGTCTCCATCAAAATTCGATCTTCATTAAATTTTGAAAATTTTTGAAAATCCACGAATTTTTTTGTGAAAATCCGCGAATTATTTTTGTTTTGTTTTACGATGTACACAAAGAGAACATGTTAATTTAGAAGATGGGCGCGAAGCGCCTTCTAAGGCTAGTATACATAAAAAAGAACTCTTGGCAAAAAAGCGCAATGTATAACAACAAAGACGAAAGAAAAATTTAAAAATAAAAAGAACAACAACTGAACATCCTGTCAATGCCTATTTTTGAAAATTTAATTTAGACATTTAGACACTCCCAAATTATCTACTTCCTTCACTCTCTTCCTTGTTTTTATTTCACCTCATTTTAAATATATTTTTTTTAAACAGGGAAATTCAACATCTATTTAAATATTTGAAAAGTTTTAGATTATTAGCATTATTTAAACCAATTAAAACTATTAAATAAAAATGTAAACCCTGACATTGCCAGACCAAAAACATGCTGTCCCCAGTACCCAGCACCAAATTTTCTTTCAATCTCTTTCACGAAAACATTCTTTGCAGTTTTTTCTTGAATTTTGCATAATTTGTTTAATTTTCGCCAACAGTTTTGACCTTTCGTTCAAAATCGTTTTTTTTTGTAAAAATATTCAACAACCCATTTTTGCGAAATTTTAACCTTGTTTTAATACCCTTTTTGATAAGATATTAAGAGATTTTTAATATTCCTCAAAACATTTTGTTTAAGATACTGAATGAACAATTTATACTGCACGAACAATTTAATTGAGTGATCGTTTAGTTATAAAACAAACGAAATAGATGGAAAATGAACAATAATTTTGAGAACGAAAGAAATAATTGTTTTTGAACAATTGAAAAAAATGGATTGTTCAAGAAAAGTGAACAAACGTAATGAAAAAACAGTTGAATAAGCCCATCTTTACTCAACACTGGTATTCAATACATTTTTCAAGGGTTTTTACTGCCATCACAAACATCAGCACATTTTTCAATAATTTTGAATACATCTGTTTTGCTTATGTGGTTTACTTTCATTTTATTGAAAAATATTAAAGATTGAAAATATTGGAATTTTGTATTGTCATTCTAATAGTACTAGTAATTCCCTCGATCAAAGGGGCTACTTTTATTTGGTGTACCGTTCAGTTTTGCCTGGTATAATCTTTATGTGTACTGTACACTTTGCTCTAGCTGGTTAGATGTCGTTCTGGTTCTTGAAATGAACCGGAAGTGAAGATGTTAAAATTTAAATATCTGCAAAAATTCCATTTTGATTTAGTATGCTATTAAAAAAACTTTATATAATACTATACCAAAGAAAAATATATGTTTCTTTTGACTGAAATGGTTCATTTTATTGGGATGTCAGTTTCTTCTTACTTGTTAAATAATATTCAGAAGTTCTCTTTTCTTGCTTGTTCATATTTACAGTGAGGGATTTTGAATATTTAAATCTAAAAAGTATTAGAATATTATTTTTATAATTCAAACCAAAAAAAACCCACATCAATACTAAGGCTAATAAACGTTTCAACTTCAAGCAATATCGGTATTTTAACATGCATCTCAGAGTCGACTTTAATTGTAAGTTTTGAATAATATAAATCAATAAAATATTAATTCTATTTAAGTTTACAATTACTTTTATATGTATTATATATATTATATTAAAGCAGTTAACCATGAACAATTATACAGTGATTTCTCTTTGTGTTGCAGCAAATATACTTCTCCTAGGAATTTAAGCATAAACTAATTGATAATTTATCATGAAAATAATTCTCAAACACTCTTAAATCTATCATCAGAGAAGAGGCATGGGGATGGGTTTAGGCTCCAATTTAGTATAATTAACTAAGTGAAGTAAAAAAAACGTCAAGGCGACCCAGTCATGAAAATTAATGCATTTTTTTTAGCTGTTTGGATCTTTGTAAATGACTTTGGAGTATTCTACAGTACAAAATAAGACAAATTTCATTTACACAATAAAATGTTTGATTTGGTTGAAGGGGAGTCTAAAAACTATATTTTGGAAACTGCAGGAGAACAAAAAGGGATCAGTGAAGGTATGATTTCATTTTATAAAGTATATTTCGAGACAGGGCAAAATAGTTATAATTTTTGTCCTAATGGTTTTATTAGAATGTTCACAAAAGAACAAAACCGAAAGTTTCAAGAGAAATAAAACTAATTATAATAATTTTTTGGATATTCACAAAACTGTCAAGTTCTAATAAAAATTTCATTTTTGTTTTTTTTATGTTCTGAACCTGAATCTCAGATAAACGAACCTAAAACATATCTGGTAGAAACAAAAGAAAAAGAGAAAGGACGTACTCCAGGTTAACAAATCATATAAATATATATATATATATATAAAGTTTTTTTCAAATTAAAAAAGAAATATCCTGCTTATCAATTGTTAACATTGATTTTTTATATTTATTATTTTTTTATTCTAAATGTTAAGCACTTAAGGTCTGCAAGCTGTAATATGTTTTGTAATGTCAACTGCAGTGGGTTAAAAACTATTTGAACGTACTAACTGTGTGGTTATGTAAATGCCTGTTTTAAATTCTATCCTTAAATCAAGCTAAAGGAGTTTTTTTTTTAGTTTTCTTAGTTATGTTTTTTCTTAGTTTTCCTCAAATATCTTAAATATCAAATATCTTTGTCGTCTTTGTATAATTACTTTTACGAAATGATATCACTGTAGGCATGAGTGATATATATATAAAAAACAGTACAACTAATTAGGTTCTAATTATGTTTGGGGCTTTTTTTAGTTTATTTGCAAATTATTTTTATTTCATAGTTTAAAAAATTCTACATAATTCTAATTGCAGGCGGATCAGATTATGAAAGTGGAATTAAGCAGATACCATCACAGGACATAAGTAATTAAACTCATACTTTCGTTAACGGTTAGTTCCAACTGTTAAAAATAAAAATTTCAGTTAGCCGTTAATTCTAAAGGTAAGAACAAAACGTTCATTCCATTCAAAAAAAAAATTACCGATAGTTAATGATCTCAATTTTATTAACGGCGTTAACGGAAACTTTTCAACAACCATTAATGGGTCTAGCCGTTAATGCTACCGTTATTACAAAATGAATGGCGTTAATGGCGCAAAGCAGCAAACATTTTTTGTTAACAGTTAAAAAAAACCATTAAGGACACAGCCGTTAATGAAGTATTACAGTATTAACGGTGAACAAAATTTGTTAATGGTAAAAAGATGGTAAACTGCACAGCCGTTAACGGTATATTACAGTATTAGCAGCATTAATAGCGTTAACGTTAACGTTTACCTAAATGTCATGCAATTTTAATAAGAAAATAACGAAATCTACCGTTTTAGGCTTTTTAGTTAACATTTTCAACCTATATATTTTTTTCAAAAACGGCTAATCCGTTTTGTTAACGATTTAAAAATGTGTATCCAGATCTGTTTTACAGCTTGAAAAAAATCAAAAGTCGTCTTTGTTGTACTGTTATAATCGCAAACCACAGTATATTAACATTGTTTGACATTTTGAATATTTGAAAATTGTTTATGCATCAATACCTTTAAGGTTTTGGTTCTCATGATTATAAATTCTGACAATTTTTTTTAATCATTTAATGACATAGATTCTAAAAAAACATTTTAAAGTATTCACTGAAAACATTGAAATTTTAAGAAACCTAAGATTTAAAAAATGAGCTGTTTTTTCTAGTCAAAAAGTGGGTCTAATAACATATATCATCCTTTAAAGTGTAAAAGTTTCTAAACTATAAGTTTACGGTTAATGACGATTTTCCCTACAAGTACTTTAAATAAAGATCATGACTAGGATAGGGAAGTAAAAAAGATGTCCAAAATTACACAGGAATTATTTCTTTGGTTTTCGTTACTAAATCGAAATTTCTAATTTTTAATATTTGAAACTTATAGAATTCATAGTTTAAAATATCTAAAGTTTATACTATAGTAGACGAATTAGGTTGCACAGATATAAGGATTAGAAAACCAGAGTTTGAGGCAAAGGTTGAAATCCTTTAATCATCAATCTTGAATGATAAATCTGTTTAGTTCCCTGTCAAATAGATGACGACTGCCCAGCATATTTGGGATGTCGAGAACAAATTTGTACATTCTAATGAGAAACAGGTTTAAAACCTTAAAGGGACTTTAAGGTTAATTTCATCTGACCCTCCATGCAAAAATGGCGAGTTCCAATTCACAATGCTATCTNAAGGAGTGTTTCAACCATACATGAGTGCACAAGTTACTTTTGTAAAGAAAACACAAATGAAAGTAATCAATATTAAAAATCATAAACATTTATATCGAACTAATACTTTATTAAAGGTACTGTTTTGAATCATCATCATTGTCAGCTTTGCATGCGAGGTCACTTGATATTACTCGTACAGTCCCTTTAATTTTCCACCAAAAGAAGAACTCGTTTCTATTTAGTTTTCCTGTAGTTTCCCCCCCCCCTCATCAACTCTAATTTAGATTTTTCATCTCAAGAAAACTACGGTTTATATGTAAATCTAAATGTAAATGTAATTTAAATGTAGAAAATAATTATCTTACGTAATTATCTATATTTAATTGCAAACTCAAAGCAAAAATGCATTTGGATATTATTTAAGTTTAAAATTATCCACTTAATTTATGAAGTTTTTTAGGTGAATTTGAATGTTCGCAGTTGGACTCGAGCAATCTATTACATTTTTTGTAGTTGTTAATTAGTTTGATAAAGAAATAAACCCATTCTTGCATTATATACAACAAGGTTATAGTATATAGAGTGATGATGTACGCTAATCCTTTACTAATTTAATAGGCCATAATTTATACCAAGAGCACACTGCATATTTGTATATTATTAGTTGATTCTGGCCTAACCGATAGTATATCAATATTAGTCAACAGTTGTAAGTGCAAAGTACAGCTAACTGAGCACGCAGGTAGAGAACTATCATCCCCCCTGATTATATTCCATTACAGAGGACGTGGAGTCAGACTCTAATAAAAATGCATAAAGTACTTCCAGTTTCTTTATTTCTTATAACTTATTACTAGAGGGTTCAGAACATGAGTCTATATCAATATCACACATGTTAGACTGTCCGTCAGTACAATGCCCCGTATCCGCTCTATCTCATTCCGTTGAATCTTGTGGAACTTGTTTAAGACGTCCAGGCATCGTCTTCCACACCATTCTTATTGTACATGATTACACTTTTTTCTGTCTCTTGATCTTGTACACCGCTTGAACATGAATACATGAATAAAACACGTTTTTACAATGTAGTCCTAACATCAGAGAGATACTGTTGTATTGATTAAGCCTTTGACAGAGAAATATGAGGGGATTTTTAACACCATTTATCAAGCTTAAAGACTGTTCAAAATTACTAAATATTCTAAATATACATAACCCCAGCGCTCTAACACCAATTGCCTGAGTACTCAAACGTACTACTTAGAATACCTACTTTTCCTATCTTTACTAAAACTACTTTAGTATAACTTTTCTACATGAACTTATAGTCTTCGTACCATCCTGTACCCTAACCTGTGAATTAAAATAAAAATATTTAGCAAGAAAAGGAAACATGTGTCACATGTTAATATTTGTCAAAAGTTAATTAATTATTTTTGAACATTTTTAACTTTCTTAAAATCCTCAATTGCACCCTAACCATTCAAGTTGGAGGTTTAATTTTTTAATGAATAGGCCTAGAAAAGTTGGGCTAGGAACATGAATCACACTCCCCTATCTAAACTCAAGTGGCAAAGTCATAGGAATCAAATAATTATATTTTTATTATTAATCTGCATAACTTAAAAAAATATTTTACTCTTAAACATCAAAATTACTCAAATTGACTTCATCCTCATCTTCTGTCAGGCAGAAATCCGTGTATTTCTAAATATAATACAATAAATTCATTGCTATGGTTTCCAACTTACGCGAAATTATGTGCAGTTTCATTTTCACAGAATATTGCTTAATTACAAGAAATTAAAGAAAATATTTTGCAAAATTTGGCACAATTTTAATCTAATTCTCCGTTATTACGGCCTAATATTTCCAAATTTAACAAAATTCATTATCTGATTAATTTCAACGCTGTGTATTTATTATCTGATTTTGTAAAATTTTAGACTAATGGGGATCTATAGTTGAAAGGAAATGGAGAGAAGGTCGAGGGGAGAGGGTTGAGGAAGGAGGGAGGTGTTGTAAGGTGGAGGGGCGAGGGTTGGAAAAACGGGAATGAAAGGGAAGGGATAAGATCACTGTAATTGTATAAAATTTAAGGATTATATATATTAACATAATAAAACAAGACATTCACATATGTGTTCCCTATAGCCGGCCAAACGGCTGGACACTTATGGGTAGCCTGCGGTTGATATAGATTAAAAGCTAAAAAAGTTGAAATTCCTATTTTTTCAGCTAGTCATGGAAAGTTGGAGTGCTTTAAAATAACAAAGAGAGGTTAGGTAGAAACCATAAATTGTTAATGAATTAATGCATTGTTAATGAATTAATGAATTGTTAATGAATTAATGAATTGTTAATGAATTAATGTAGAGGAATTAAAAGAATCTCTCGGTATGAATTTTTTCAGTCCCTTTCAGCCTGAAAGGGAGTTCAAAGTGTACAAATCATGTAAATGTTCACAAAGTATATGCAGTAGAGTACATTAATACAGTATGTTCCCTAGACTATCCACTTCAATTTCGAATTTTTTAAACTGTTAAATAAACTTTAAAATGAATTAGGTGAAAAAAACATCATTTGATTTATAGTTATAACGGAAAATCATCGTTTGTAAAGTGAAAGACATAGAGTCTATGTGAAATGATCATTGGTCAATTATGAAACCAGCCTATTTCATAATTTGGTTTTCTTTTAACAATAATTTTATATTTTCTTTAAAATGATATTCCAGGGCCCAACAGGTTATATAGCATATATATGTGAAGTACACCTGCAGTATATATGGCAACAGTACAACAAAATGGCCGTTTTACACTTTTTTCTTGTAAATTCCTCTCTATATATTCTATTCTCTATGGGAGAAACATTGTAATTGAGATCAAAAACATTTTGTCAATTAAAAAACAACATACTATATATATAAGCTTAAAAATTAAAATTAAAATGAGGGTTTCAAAAAAAAGGGGGGTATAGGTTGACGTTGAATTGAAAACTACTAATACCATACAAATTCACGGAGTGGCATTATTCTATCAGATAGTAATAATTCAATTAAAATTAGATTAGGCATTCAGATATTACATCATACAATCCTGCAATCCTATACAGTTGATATTTTATCATATTTTATATTTGGTTTTTTAATTCATATTTGTTGAAGGCTTATATATTTTTTATGGCTGGCACCGGATTTTTGAAATATTCTAGTAAATTTGAAAATGTCGTCTTCCTTATATATTTTTATGGCTGGCACCGGATTTTTGAAATATTCTGGTAAATTTGAAAATGTCGTCTTCCTTATACAAATCCTCATAATTGCTGTAATGCATATTTACAAAAGTAACATTCGGATCATATGAAATAAAAATATTATTATAACAACTATAATTAAATGCATCGTATTAAATTCAACATTTATTTAATTTAATTTAATTATTATATTACTAGAAAAATGAAACTCTGTAAAATTGTATGGATGCTTTTCGCTCTTCGTTCGGTACAAGATGTTTTTTAACTATTTTCTCCTGAGAGAAATTTGAATTCAATCAATACCCCTTTTCTTTTTTCGGGAACACTCCCTTTAAGTCAAAGGCAATATTACGAACGCTTACCAAATTAAGTTCCCGGATCAACATCTTCTGCAATTAATGGCACAGTATCGACCGTGCAAACATTTATTTTGTTCAGGACAATCTTCATCTGCTTTGCAAGGTACTATATAAACAACAACTTTGTCACTTCTACATATAAAGTTGTCATCTCTGTTTGTCTGTTTCTTTGTTTGTTTGTCCAATCATAACTCAGGAACCCCTGGACCGATTTGGCATACATTTTTATTGGAGAACTCGGAAGAGTTCCCGGAATGTTCATAGTTTGGTTTTGAGATTCTAAAATGAGTGGGTCTACTTTAATAGTGAAAATTTGGTTTCCCAGTAAAATGGTTCAAGTGCGGGTAAACGGCTGAATTATCTATGAGTACCCTGGGCAGTGCTTGATATGTATGAAGATAAAATTAAAGTTACTGGAAGTTCAGAGGTAAGAACTTTTATATTGTGAATCTTGTGGTGGTCATACACTGCAGGGATAACAATCAAGGGATAATCATTGATCGATAAATTAAAAAGTACATTGGATATTCAGATTAGGCATTCAAGCTTAAGATACTTTAAAGGTTCATAAATTATGATTGTATGCTATGCACAGAATTATAATTTGCATTCTACATGTGTTAATTGTGAAAAAAATTAAAATCTAATGAGTAGGTTTTTTTTTCAAGATATCTTGATCATTTTCACAAGAATGTATGTGTAAAATGCACCTAACATATTGAATAATGTAGTAGATGCAAATTGCAATCTTCCGGACAATGCGAATCTGGTTTAAACCAATTTCTATATGGATATTTATTTTCAAGAATTTTTTTTCAATAATTTGGGGGGACCAAAATGAAAAATAGGACTTCAACCATACACTAAGTTTTCAAAATAAAAGCATACTTATCTTCTGAAGAGTTTATAATTATATTTTATAATTTTCCACTTATTTTCATTACCTATGGCTTTCCTCCGTTTTTCTAGTATTAAAATAATAATTAGAATTTCCTGCAAAAAGTGATGTAATTCTTATAATTTTTGTTTGTCAGTCAGAATGCCAAACATAAATAAATCACTTCAATATAGTACGTTTCAAATGTTTATACTTTTGATGAACACTATCGTAACAAAAGCTAAAATCCAGAAAAATCAAAATGTTGACATCTCTAGACTACAGAGCAACCTAAAAGCCTAGCTAGCTTTTCAAGGAACAAAATACTTTACTTATAATATATAACTTACTTATTCCATTATACCATTCCTTATTGTATCAAAGCTATAGTCAATTAAAAAAAGTGTAAGCTTTGAACTTTGAAATGATTTTAAAATCATTTGGCTTGCTAATACTTTTTGGATATCTTCTTAGTGTTTTAATTGTTTAACATTGGAACAAATACTTAAACCAGAATTATACTTATCTGCACAATAAGATAATTTTTAATGAAATTTCACTTGATTTCAATTTACCTTGCAGTTCCTCCCACTCTTCAGCTACAAATAGAGAATTTATTGCAAAAAAGGTTCTAAAATTTTAGATATAGATTTTTACAGCTTTATACACGTGGGATCTTAATATTCTGTTTATAGTAATTTTCTAAAAATTAACAGAAATCTCATCATCAAATGGCAGTAACTGTTTTTTTATTTGATACTACGGATATGTATAAATGATAGTATAGCTAAGTTCTGAAAACAAGCAACATTTTTGGGAAATTTGTCATTAAACTGAAAAAGAAATATAATTTTTTTTCGTTAACACTGATAAAGAAAAAACAAGCAACCGATTAAAAAAAAATAATAGTTAAAATTAAATAAAAATGTTCAATATTTTTTGTCAAACAGTTAACCAAAAAGAAATGTTCATTTTGCAATCAATGATTTTGATGAATATAATGATAAATAAACAGGAATTATTTGAAGCAACAAGAAAATTAAATATATTACTGAATGTTGTCCTATAATTATAAAAAGATAATTCTTAATGAAATTTCATTTGATTTAATTTTACCTTGTTCCCTTCTTCTCTTGTGATCTACGAATAGAGAATTTATTGCAGATAATTAATATTAAAACGAAAAGAAAACGTTTAATATTTTTTAAAAAACAAAAACTGAAAAGCAATTTTTGTTTTGCATTCAATGTTTTTGATGAATATAATCAGAAATAAACAGGAATTATTTGAAGCAACAAGAAATTAAATATATTACTAAATGTTATCCAATAATTATAAAAAGATAATTTTTATTGAAATTTTACTTGATTTAATTTTACCTGGTTCCCTACTTCCTTTTTGAACTACAAAAAGAGAATTTATTGCAGATGATTAATATTAAAACGAAATAAGAATGTTTCATATTTTTAAACAAACAATTAACTAAAACGAAATTTTTGTTTTGCATTTAATGGTTTTGAGTATAAGGATAGATAAACAAGAATAATTTAGAGCAACAAGAAAATTAGATATAATAGTAAATGTTGTCCTATGCTTATGATGGAGTCAACGATAAGTTATCCAGCAACATGTGATCCAGTTGGCATTTGATCCAGTAATAACAAAATTAGCTTGATCCAGGGTATTAATTTTTGTAATTATTGGCTTAAAACATGAAATGCACTCATTTTTTATAAACAATTCATATTAAAACTTTTTCTCATTTCGCATTTAGCTGATGCAGGTGGACAGGTTGTTTGTCTTCAAAACTACATCAACACCAGATCTTCCAACGCAAGGAAAGGCATTTAAAATGTCTAGCTGTAGCAATAATCACAAAAGCAGAGCCTTTTAATTAACACACCTGAACTTAACCGTATAGCTGACCTCAGGTAGATTGAATTCCTGAAGATTTAGAAATACGCTGTAGATAACCCTTCTTTTCCTCCTTGGAAGTGCATTTATTAGATCTATACAGCATGCTAGAATACAGAGTTGTAATTAACCAAAGTCCTGGGAAGAAATCCTCACTTAATACCAGGAAAATAAAAAGTGCTGGTAATGGTTTCCTGGAGTAGCTGAAACTGTCAAATTCCCTTATGGATTATATTTTGGCTGGATTAATTTCCACTAAAAAAAATGTCAAAAGTAACGGATTAAATGATTAATTTCATTATGGATAAAAGGTCGACTTGATAATATGTCCCATGGATCAAATGTTGTGATTCAGTAATGACTGGATCAGATGTCACTGGATCACATGTTGCTGGAGCACTTGTCAGTTTAACTGGATTGAATGTTGTGGCGCCAATATGATGTAGTTTAGATACTAATATTTAGTAAGTTATCACACAGTAAATAGTGTCAAAAAATAAGTCAATTAGGAATTTTAATGACATTTCTTTATGGCTTACATGGCAAGAAGTTCAAGTAGTCATCTCCATCTGCACCTAAAAAATCAACTAACTGAGACTAATCAATAGTCACAGTTGACGTAAAAATAAGTCTTTTGCATCAAGGTATATTGCAAGAACCAATCAAAAGACAGGGAGTTAGAGATAGATAGATAATGTATACTACATGATAAATAAACAAGGAAATATCACTTCTATGGTATTGGTTGGACTGGGCAACATTCCCTTACAAATGACAAGTTTTTTTTTAATTTAACAAAAGATTCCGTTAATGGGTATAAGCTTTTTAATGATTACTAAAATATCTTCTATTAACATTGTTGATAAGATTGAGAATGTTAGTGAAAGTTAACTAAACATTAACTGAACAGAGCTGAAAACTTTAGAATGGGATATCCTTAATCCTGATCGGATAATTAATCTGGAGATTAAAAATGAGAGGAGAACAAGCAATATTTAATCTCGAGATTAAGAAAAAGAGTGGATTAAGCCTTAATGCCGATATCCACCATTCTAAAGTTTTCAGCTCTGAATGTTTAGTTAAGAACCAACAAAGTTGAACTTTTGAACAATTTTTCTAACCGTTAACAAACGGTTAGAAAAAAGTCTCTGCTCTGGGCACAAGGCGAAAACTGGATAATGAGAATAAGGATTGTTCATATTTATGTTCAAAGGAATCTTAAAACTTAACGTTACGGTGGTGATGAGACTTTCTATTTCAGCTTTGGTTTCTATCAAACAGATGAGATATAAACTTGTTTACACAGAAATCTGTTGTCAATCAACAGGGGAAAATATTTTCTGTTCTTAAAATATTTTTGTACTTTGACGTGACCTCGGATAATCACAGTAAATGTACTTAAATATGAAGAAATTTAGTGTTTGAAATCCAATATGACATCATGAAAGGATATTTTCAATACTAATTATACGATTTAAGTTCAAATTTGATTCAGTCTGTACTGCATTAAATTTGTGCCCAAATTATATAGACCATATTTAAGTCTCATCCTTTTCTTGGAATTCATCATGATTATTACTTTATGAAATATTTATTACCTCCTACATTTCCTTCAAGTTGGTCATCTGTTTCCAGGAGATACTTTTTTGACTCTCCTAAACCAATTCAAACATTTCAGCTGGAAACCTCATCACCATTTTTCTTTGTTTAAATTACAATTTTCATCCAAATTTCAAAGTTTAAATTTAAAGGAAAAATGTTCCAAAACTTACGCTTGGACCATTGGACCATTGGACCATTGGACCATTTCTAACACGTTTTCTTTATTATAACTATTACATGGGCAGCCGCAGTACATTTGAACAGTTTGTACTGTATCTTCTCTGGACATTGGTTAAATAAAGCAGACACTCAATAGGACTAGCCGGTGCAACAAGGTTGACACGGTCAGACTTTAGGTTGAATTTACTTTTACTAAAGGGTCAGAGGTGCGTGATTATTAATAAATTTGTTAGAGACATAAAACTTTTGACACTTGTGAAGCATATTATATATATATATATATATATATATAGATTTATGTTTAAATTCCTAGGGACAGTAAAACTGTTATAACACAAAGAATCTGTATTACTTGATTCTTCATGATTGACTGAAATAGTTTTCAAATTAAATAAATAATTTAATAAAAACAAATATTTAATTAGCAATGTTTTGATTGAGGACACCGCCTTTGATATGTATATGTATCAAATCAATAAACTTTTTACATCATTACAGTTTTACAAAATCTAAAACCATAAGGATTTATCTATTTATCTATATACAGTATACACTGTATTTCTTCCGTCTCAAAGTATCCTTCATTGTTAGTACTTCTTGTTAAAAGAAAGTTAAACTGCGTTTTTAAATAAGAATTAGTTACAATTAAGGATGCTTTTGGATAGGGGAAATACATTGTGTACAAAGTAACTGAGTTTTTACTACAAATTCAGATTTTCTAATCCCTATATTTTTGCAACCCAATGTCTTTGAAGTTTCTGATTCTGTTAGATCAAATTGCTAAGTTTGAAAAATCAAAGATTTAAATCATTTGCACAAAATGTAAGGATTAAAAAGTCAGACGTTGTGACAAAACTATAAAACTAGGCTTTCAGGGCGCTTCGCGCCCATCCATCTTCTATTTTAATTGAACATATTCTTTTGTATAAATTGTAAAATAATAACAAAACAAAAAATTGGTGAATTTTTTAAAATTTTATGCAAATCAAATTTAGTTTGAGGTTGATATTTGAAATTTTTATTATATCCATAAACCTTTCCTAGGGTCATGTGAGGCCCCACACAAAAGTTGGGCCTGACTGGTTCAGCCGTTTATTGGATACAAACAAACAAATTCCCATTCACATAATTCACATAATTAACTTTACTTTTATAAAGATAGATATCAAAATACGATTTTAAAATTACAATTGTATTCTAAAATTTCTAATGAACCACAAAACGAACAGGAGTTAACATATTTCAAGCTGAAAAAACGACAAAATCTTCCACATCTTGTATTAGATAAAGGTTTATAGAGTACCATTGTGAATCGGGCATGGACATCTTTGCATGGAGGGTAACTTACAGTCCCTCTTTAATTCGTCTACTCTAATTAATTTTTTTCCAATAATTAAAGAAAAAGTTAAAGAAGCTTTTTAATTCATCAATAAATTTAAATATTATTTATTAAATATTCGTGTTACATATACATTTTTAATATTTATCTATAAGAATGTCTTGTTTTATTATATAGAAGATTCATGTTACATATACATTTATAATATATATATATATATATATATATGATTACACAGCACAGACAGTCCAGTTTATACAGTAAAATTAAAGTTTATTTACCTTTGTTTTTATGTAAAAGTTTTGAAATAACGTGATTTATATCAGATTTATTTACATTTTGATCTAATGTTTTTCTTATTCCTTTTATCAAAAATGTTGATCTTAAAACGAATTTTATTATATTTTATTTGCGTTTTGTTTCATTTCAAGGTTTTGAAAAATGTATGTTTGAAACACACTGTAAGGATTTTGTAGCAAATCTGGAAACTTTTAAAAGTCCAATGAGCATGAGACGCAGCAATTGTACAATGTAAATAGACCTATTTCACTAAATCATTGGTTTATGAAGTGTCTAGTAACACTATTTGCTTTGTAACACTTAGGTATGTATTGCTATAATCGTCTTCCTATTCCATTGTTTTCTGATTATCAAGCACTGTTTTGAGATTTGTTTAAGCATACAAATAAACTGAATTTTAATCCAGCTCTCCCATTCTGATTTTGAACTTGTACTTCAACCTGGAAAATTATTTATATACTTTTCTTTATTTTAAGGATTTATTTTACATTAGAAATCTTACTTGTTTTCTATTAAGCTCTGTTTGTATGAAAGCTGTTAAGAATTTAAAAAATGGGATTTTGTCTGCTAATACAAAACTGCATAGAGGAAGAGGAGCAATATGCTGACAAAGCCATGCTAGTAATTTCGCATACATTTGACCTTTAGATACCCCAGTAAATCTAAAAGGATAGCAGACAAATAATGATTTTTTTCTGTGTTCATTTTTCTAAAACCATTAATTTGAAATTTATTATTATTATTATAAAAACGAAATATCTCAAAGTATAAAGAAATGGAGTTTTTGCTACAAACTATGAATGCTGTTATATCAAATTAGCAAAGTTTGAAATATCAAAGGTTTATATCATTAGGTTGCTAATATGAATAGGGATTATTAAATTTTCTTTTGTGGCAAAGACTTAATTCCTTCGTATCACAGATTTTACCTAATCGTCTGTAGTAGTTCTACAAGGTTTTCAAGGCTCCAACTGCAGATGCCTCCAATACAAGTTAACCTACATAATTTACATACAAGTTTTTATAATAAATCATCACTGGAGGTCCTGTTTCGGATACCCTTTCTCATTGGAGACCAACATTGAACATCCTTGGGGTCTCCGATGAAAAGTTTGGGGTTTTGATGAAAATCTTGGGGTCTCCGATAAAAAAATGGGATCACCCATGAATATCTTGGGTCTCTTATGAGATGGCAGTGGGGTGTCCAATAGTTCTTGTTAAGCAATTCACAAGTTAACAAACAAACAAGTTTTTATATCATTATCATTGGAGTACTAAATCGGTGACCCTTTCTCAAATATTAAATACATTGTATTTACCTAGGACAGGTGTCTAGAAGTTTATAAATTGAAATCTCTGAAAGAAGAATAGTGAATCCACCAGTTATATGAATTTGTTCTAAAGCCTCCAAACATCCTCGTCTCACAATCTCAGCTATGTCTCCATCTGTTAATCTGAACAAAAGATTGAACAACAGTGTATCCCACAGGGTATCCCAATAAACATAGAAATTAAGTGACGACTTTTATATAGTCTTTGTTTCTGGTGGCTTTCTTGCGTGAAAACAATTTTTGTAGTATTTCTGTTAAACATAATTTATAATTAAATTTCAGAATGCATACAATGATCAGAATAAAAAATTTGCATAACTTTTAAGATTTTTGTTTAATCTTTTTAAAGTCCAAAAACCTTAAATATTTTCAGAAACTATAAACCAAGTTATTGCCCGTCACATACTAGACCAAAGCGGATATATGCTGACGTTGTCATATTTTGCTATAAATGCTAATTAAATTTTGGGATTGTACTACATACATAAATAATAAAAGAAAAAGGTAGGGGGGAGGGGGCAACCCCTGTCCCCAACCTACCCTATTTTTGTGTAATAATCAGGGAATAAGAATAAAGGGAAGGGAAATGGTGCTGGTCTGGCATGAGAAAGCCAGTCGCACTGCTTTGCAGACAAGTTGGTTATTACACAAGCACACTCTTTTGGTACAGACAAACAACATGACTACAGTCAAGGAAATTGCAGAACAATGTCGTCAATTATGATTAAGCTTAAATAATGAGTAGTTTATTGTAAACTTTAATTAAATTACATTCTTTGCATGAAAATTTGGCTTAAAGTATTGTGTTATAAATAAAAAATATATTTCATGTGTATCAAACTTATTTTTAAGTGAACAATTAACAATAAGCAAATGTACTCTCCTGTACAAATACCGAGATGCTTATGTACCGTATTACAGTACATGCCTTCGGTTCTATATCACTTACACACACTCTTTTGGTACAGAAACACATACATGACGCTTTCGCCCCCTGGTAATAATCCTGATATTCCTAAACAATTGTTTGATTTAAGGTCTACATTTACATTCCCAGCGTACTGCATTTATAGATTAAACCGTAATGCATGACTTATTGGATAGAATCAGTGGAGAGTTCAATATCTTGTGTTAATTAACAGTTTATTAATTATATACTGTTTCATCTATAAATAGATCAAGGAGTATGAAATATGATACAACTGACGCGGCCCGCCCTACATTATGATTTGCAGACGGTACTCCATTTGTTTAAGAAATATTTGTCTGATGTACAATTATCGCGCATACAATAACCTATTATTTCTTATTCAAATGGAGTACCTCTGCAAAGCATGTATAATCATATGGTAGGGTGGGCCGCATCAGTTGTATCTCCCTTCTATTTCATACTCCTTGGATTACATACCTTATGTTGTAAAGAGAAATCTGTTCAAGTCTGGTAGAAATCACTAAGTTCTTCCAGCAGCCCTATACATAAATACAGTGATAACTAACGTTGTTAATCGTTTGGTTTCAACTTTATTCAGAGATTTCAAAACTTTGTTCAGTTTAAGTTTGTATTTTTTAAACGTTATAATTTCTTTATTCTAAAATATGGAAAAACTATTTCGATCCTTAAAAAAACATTGTCGTTTTTAGATCGTCTTAGCTCGGTTTTGATAATATTTTCAATCAGGGTCTAAATTTTTCATAGTGCCAGAAAATTAAATGTTCTTAAAATTGTATTTAAAACTATTATTGTATAACCATTTAACAGGGGGGTGAAATTATTATCTTTGATTTTCTTTTGATGATCATTTATGATTGACGCGTTAAGATTTTCCATTTGAAACTGTTAAAACTAAAAAACTAAACAATGATCGACCATGACACTTTATAGATGGAGGCACTGCAAACAAGATAGAAGAAGGGTAAACAGAACGACTTTGTAACCTAGCAGCTCCTCGAGTTTTGATATTATGAAGTATGAGAAAAACAGTTTTATTCTGTTACATGGGAATTTAGTGACAAATTGGATATCGTCTTTGCTATGAAGTAGCATTGTAATACCTAATTTCAAAACCCATAATGTTATTATGTGTGCTAGAATTTATTTTATGAAAAGGGTAAAAGACTATAAAGATGTGTCTATGATGTCTCCGTAAGATGAACAGTGTAGACGGACAAGTTTACTATGTTTGTATACTGCAATTTTCTTGTTTTACTAAGTACAGACAGCAGGTATCACTATACTAAATCAAAGAATTATTTTTAAAAGACGATATCGAATTCGTCACTGAATTCCCATGTTTATTGGCACACCCTGTACATAAGTATCCTTTCATCATTCAAAACATTTCTGCTAATCACAATAACAATCACTTGAAATATGTTAACGGTCCCTTTAAAAAAACATAAATTTCATCAGAGAATATAATTTCACCTGTTTTTGCTGAGGGAAAACAACATCCTGAAGAAACAGTTGTTTGAGGCGGGGAAATATAGATGTCGTCTTTTGTGGTACTTCAAAATGTACAACTAAAGTATAATTATTTTAAGCATTACAAAAAATGTTTTTTTTTTAAATTCACTTCTCTCTTACCAATGGAGGTTATGTTATATAATTACTCTTACAGTTCCTTTAAAGGGACTGTAAGCGTAATTTCTAGTGACCCTCGATTCAAATATGACAGTGCCCGATTTCCTACAGTATCCTTGAAAGCCATGTCTGATCAAGTATAAATTATATATCAATTTTTTTCTTTCTTTAAACTTTTCACTTTCATTTGCGGTTTTTCTGCGAAAGTGCCTGGTGCATTTCTTGTTTATAAGAACCAATAGTGAAACTTACAGAAATAAACACTTATCGTTTCAGAAAAACGACGGTATAACACACATTTGTTTTATCAGATTAAGGTTTCAAGGGTACCATTGTAAATTGGGCATTGTCATCCCTGCATGAAGGGTCACTTGTAATTATGCATACAGTCCCTTTAAGATAAGAAACAAATTGAAGTTGTTTAATTACCTGAATTTGAAACAGACAATGTTCGTAGGTTAGGACAGAGCAAACATATCTTTCCTACATCTATCGTTCTTAGGTTGCTTGTATATCTAAACACAGTGAATTTAGTTTTTGCAATAAAGTAAAATTTTATAATTCCTAAATGGTACCTGCTGGTGTAAACCTTTGGTTTTTAAAATTTATATCATTTGATCTTTCAGAATTAATAGTTTGAGATATCTTAGGTCTATGGCATTGGGTGCTGCAACATTATATGAATTTTAAAGTTAGAGTTTATGGCAAAGATTTCTTCCTTTATTAAAAAACATGAACTATGTCAAAGGTTTAATATCTTAGTCTAATTAGGAAAACCACATGATGGTAAGGTCATCTGCCGTATTGTTTGTTGTTAAGAGACACACTTTCTCAATTATCAATTATCAGAAGTCGAATTCCCATGTTTAATTCAAACATCTTGTACATAAACAATACTTTGATTTTTTTTAATTATGCAGAAACGATATTACAAAAAGAAGTAATATTAGTTTTTATACCAAGTAAATAAAAATCAAGTGAAAAAGTTTAAAAAAAATTTCAAAATGAGAAAAGCAAATCACGAAAAAGACATATTTGTAGAGTACTACATTTCTGATGAATTCGGCTGTTTAGAAAGTACTCAAAACTTGATCCATTGAATCTTTTTCTAATGAAAATAATGAAAATCCGTGATTTTTCATACTTGGAATTTAATGTGCTGATAGTGTTGCTTATTTGTTTAGAAGTTAGAGACTGTAATAAGTCTGACGTATCATAATAATATAGTATTGTTTGTTTATTTAGCTGTAAGCTGTTAGACCTAAAGACATTCAGTCTCAGAAAGACTTGACTCACCTGAAAGAAAGTGAATTACGTTGACCGGCAGAGTTGTGAGGTCAGAGAGTCAAATTTAGGTTACCTGATAAGGCATTGTTACTTAAACACCTGAATATTTGTAGTTTCAAACCAATCTCTGGGTTCTTGAGATGACGATACACCTCCTCTAGTTCAACATCATTCAGGTTTAACTCCCTGGTAACAAATAGTATCAACTCACTGCAAACTAAGACATGGAGGGAGAAGGTAAAATGCGACATCACTATTTATTGTTTAAACCATATTTTATTGTTTTTTTCTTTGATTCTCAACTTAGCTCCTAAAGTAGAGAAGTTATGATTAAATACAAATGCTTATTTCAACCTTAATTGCAATTCATTAAAGTCTTTATCCCACATTCGGAACAATTATTGACTAATCTTTAAATTGAACGTTTTATATTTTTAATCAACTATTTGAATACAAAAGAAAGTATAGCCAAATTTTCGGAAACAAATTAAAACTTTGCTAAAAAATGTCGTAGCATCTTTTCTTACTGTAAAAAAAAGAATAAAAATGCTAGTTTGGCCTTTTATATGAATGATTGATAGAATATTCGAAATGAAAAGGAAAACCCCTTCAGTTGCTTCTAAATGAATTATAGCTAGGGTAAAATAGAGCAGTAACAGCTGAAAACCATGTTTTGTTGTAATCAATACAATTTTTGAATGTGAATTACATAATATGTACCTCAGGTATCTGAAATACTGAAGATACTGCAAATTATCTTCTCCATCAAGATAGGATTCACTTCTACTATAATTAGTCAGGCACACACTGCTCAAATTAGGAAACAATCTAAATATTATTATTATTATTATTATTATTATTATTATTATTATTATTATATTTATTATTATTATTATGATTATCATCACTATCTATAAACCTGATTATACTAGGAAGAAGTGAGTATGTATTAAGGGAAAGGTTTACTGAATCGAGAGGCAGGTTCTTGGGATAACAGTCCTTGCAACCTAGACAACATTTAGGGGTACATATTTTCTTGAAAAATTATCCCCCCCCTCCTCCTCTTTGAATATTATTGTTTGTCCCCAAGAAGTTTTGATAGAATAAAGATTTAGACATTGTGAGATTAACAGAGGTCATAACTTTTGTATGAAAAAGCGCTAATCTTGATCTCAATATCCATTGTGACAAGTTTTGTGACAAATTTGAGGGATAAGTTTTTGATTCCTTATTTCAAGCTTTTTTTGCAGTGCTGGGTAAGAATATAGTTTACTATACAGTGCACAAGATACGGATTCCTGCTTAATAAGGCGCTAAAGAAACCGAGATCAGCTCAAATGTGATTGAGTTATCAGCTCAGATTTGCATCACAACATTTACGTATTTGAATTTGAACTAAGCTGAATAGCAAGAATGTCATTAAATCCCATACCCTTCAGGATCCAAATTTAATCCAATATTCAAAACTAAAAATTTAGAGAACCATCCCTTTATTCCCAGGTTATACCTGAAGACACAAGAAGATTTTGCCAATGTTGCTCCTCAACTTCTAGATTTTTCAGGTTTCTAGAGTAACATACTTTTATAGTTTTCTAGGATGTAAAGATATAGTTTTCTAGGATGTAAAGATATAGTTTTCTAGGATGTAAAGATATAGTTTTCTAGGATGTAAAGATATAGTTTTCTAGGATGTAAAGATAAAGTTTTCTAGGATGTAAAGATATAGCTTTCTAGGATGTAAAGATAAAGTTTTCAGGTTTATATAGTAATATATTTTATAGTTTTCTAGGATGTAAAGATAAAGTTTTCAGGTTTATATAGTAATATATTTCATAGCTTTCTAGGATGTAAGGATAAAGTTTTCAGGTTTATATAGTAATATATTTTATAGTTTTCTAGGATGTTAGGATATAGTTTTTAGGTTTCTAGAGTAAAATATTTTATAGTTTTCTAGGATGTAGGGATATGGTTTTTAGGTTTCTAGAGTGCAATATTTCAATAGATTTCTAGTGTGTAAAAATATAATTTGAAGGTTCCAAATTAAAATATTTTCTTGGTTTTCTAGAGAAAAATATTTTTATAGTTTTCTAAAGTGTTTGTTTCTAAAAATTATTAGAATCATCTTAATATTTCTAAAGAAAACTTATTATTTTTTTTTAGGTTTCTTGAGAGTAAAATATTGGTTTTATGATTCTGTAATAAACAAAAATAAATTTAGGTTTCCAAAGAAAAAGAAAATTTTCAGAAAAGAAAAGAAAAAAACACTTTTAAAATAAATTTTCAGAAAAGAAAAGAGACAAACATTTTTTTACCAGGCTTTAAAAGGCAAAATAGTGATTTTAGATTCTTGGAAAGCAAAAATATTTGGTTGGTGTAAAAAATAGTAAATTGTAAGAAATTTGAAAAAAATTGAAAAGGTCCAAATTTGGCTGGTTTAAACAAACCTAAAATTTTGAAGCACACATTCTAGTCCTCGGCAATCTGTGGATGTTCCTCTAAAAGTATTAAAAAACGATGAAATTTAACCCCACCTATTCCTACAGGGTATATTAAGATAAACTGCTACCTAATACTAAAATAAACTGCTACCTAATATTAATATAAACTGCTACCTAATATTAAGATAAACTGCTACCTAATATTAAGATAAACTGCTATCTAATATTAATATAAACTGCTATCTAATATTAATATAAACTGCTATCTAATATTAATATAAACTGCTATCTAATATTAATATAAACTGCTATCTAATATTAAGATAAACTGCTAACTAATATTAATATAAACTGCTAACTAATATTAAGATAAACTGCTATCTAATATTAAGATAAACTGCTATCTAAGATCAAGATAAACTGCTATCTAATATTAAGATAAACTGCTACCTAATATTAAGATAAAATGCTACCTGATACTAAAATAAACTGCTACCTGATACTAAAATAAACGGCCACCTAATATCAAGATAAACTGCTACATAAAATTAAGATAATCTTCTCTCTAATATTAAGATAAACTTCTCTCTAATATTAAGATTAACTGCTACCTGATACTAAAATAAACGGCCACCTAATATTAAGATAAACTGCTATATAACATTAAGATAAACTACTACCTAATATTAAAATAAACTGCTACCTAATACTAAAATAAACTGCTATTTTATTTTAAGATAAACTGCTACATAATATTAAGATTAACTGCTGCCTAATATTAAGATAAACTGCTACTTAATGTTAGAATAAATTGATACCTAATATTAAGATATCGAAGAGCAAGCAGCATCCCATGCGTGTCCTTGTGATTCTGCATTAAATTAGAGATTTGACTTGCGGTCACTGGACTTCCCTAGAACAAAAATACAAGTATAGAAGACATAAAATAGAAAAACATATTTTCATTTTCTAAAATACAGTGAAACCCTTAATAACGAATACATCGATAGAATTCATCAAATGTCGTATTCTTCACTTTCTGATAATGGAATGTTGAAAATATTTAGTTTTTTAATCAAATGATTATATGGAACTCTTTAAAACTGTTCCCGCATATTCATGGCTATTTATTTATTTTCGCAAATACTGAAATTTACGCAATATAGTATAAAACTCATTGAAAAATTGTTAAGACGACATTAGATAAATTCTTCTGATGTATTCGTTATTAAGGGTTTCACTGTAGTACCCTCAAATTTTTCTTAATATATCAATTGCAATGATTGCAAGAAAATAATAGATAAAAAATGTAAACAGTGATTTCAACGCCAGACTTATACAAACAGAGAATGTTGCGGTTGAGTAATCAGTTTCTATAAATACGTACATACTTGCTTGCATACCCAGCTTTTGCCTACAGTTTTTCGCTATAAAAGTCAACCCATTTAACCCAGAGTTCTTAGTCCTAGCTAAGAACATTCCCTTGGTTCTCCCGAGGCCCCAAATTAAAATTTGAGACAAATCAGCCAAGGGGTACATGAGTTATGATCGGATAACTACTTTATATAGATAAACAAATCACCTTCAAAATATTGCCAAGAAGCTTTTGCCCTTCAGTGCACTAGAATAAAAATTTTATAAAATATGAAATCATGTTTTTAATTTACATATTTTTAGAACTATCGACCAAACGGCAAACAGTTATTTGTTAGATTTAAAATTCAGTGATGGTGATGGACCAAACCTCTGTAGAGTAAAAAAGTAGATGTTAGTTCCACATTTATTGAAAATATATTTCGGTCTGGGTTGACCCTCGTCAGTTCTAACGATATTATAACCATCAAAACCCTTACAGNCCTAAGTTCTGGTTTGCTGCAAATTCGTACAATTCTGTATGCAAGTGAATAAGGTATGTTGTTAGAAATATGTGCTGGGTGGCAAGATGATGGAAGTAGGTACATGCATCTATCTGTGGGTTTTCTGTAGAGATCTGTTGTGATTTTTCCATCTTCAATGTACAGTTTTGTGTCAAGAAATGGAATACTTTTTGTTCTGTGGCACCAACAGTCATGTTCATCCTTTAAACCACAATAAAATGTTTGTTATGTTGAGATATTCAATCCACTAAAAATATAAGATTTACAAACTTTCCATTTTCAAATTTTCAATCCCATTTTTTGTCATTAAACATGAAATTTTATACTTTCTAATATTTGAACATTAAAAAAATCAACCCCCATGAACAATTCCTGTAAATGCCCCAGACACCGATCCATAATGTTAAAAATGCAACATAACTTCACTTCTTTAGAGTTTTCACATCGAAAGTTGTGTATTTCGGCTTTTAGTGAAAACATTAGGGACATATTTATATTTATAGTTGTTTAATCTAATTTTGATTTTTTACACTAATTTTAGCAAGTGCTTGAATGTTTTAAAATTTAAAGGGCTTTATTATCTTTTTAGAATATATTTTTGAAAGAATGAGCTACACGTTTTACAAACAACTTTGGGGAAGAAATGAAAACTCAAAAACAGGAGTAAATGAAAAGTTGGTTTTGAAGTGTTATTAGCTACCTGAGCATAATGTGAAGGAACCCAACCAGCTCGTCCTATAACCATCCCACCATCCTGTCCCGCAAGTGCTGATAAACCCTTAAGAGACGATTTTTAAAACAGTTAAATAGGAAGACGACTTTTGATCAATCTTCTCTGCATTTTATGTCATATTGAGGGATATAGTTATACCAGTAGCTTGAATATCAACTTTTTTTGTGAAATGGGTCTGTATACCGTGCACAGTAGCTGGGTTTTATGTTTATTAAAATATAAAAATCTTTCTATTAAACTGTATTTTGGGATTAACTGTGTAAACTTTAAATAATTCAATCTAATGCCTCAATTATAAAGACGTTTGTGAAAAATCTAGAACATGTGCCCCGAAAAGTCAGAGATTGGTTCGATTTTAAGTCTTGCAATACTTTAGCCTTTGATTTACCAGCTACCATTCAGATTTACCTGATTACCGACTCCCCAGTTACCCTCCAGATTTACCTGATTACTGACCCCCCAGCTACCCTCCAGATTTACCTGATTACTGACCCCCCAGCTACCCTCCAGATTTACCTGATTACTGACCCCACAGCTCTGATTACCGACCCCCCAGCTACCCTCCAGATTTACCTGATTACTGACCCCCCAGCTACCCTCCAGATTTAAGTGTTCCAACTGCGGGCATATTCCTCCACCTGAAAAGCAAAATTAATGTTTTGCTCGTCTAAGAAATGAAATATTTCATTTAAACGTGTAAAGATACAAGTTTTGCTTCCACATTTTTTTTTGATTTTTCAAAAAATGCATTTTACATAGAGTGATAACCAGAAAATTCTGAAATAGAAAGACGACTTTTAAGCTCAAGTTAGGACTTTAAATAGTCCAATCAGCACGGTATACAGCAATTGTGCAGTGTAAACAGGCCCATTTTAACAAATTAGTGATGACATATGTTTTAAGTAAAGCTTTTTGCTTTGTAACACCATCAACACACTAAGTATCGCTATAAAGTCGTCTTCCTATTTCAGAGTTTTCTGGTTATCACTGTATTTGAATCAATTATCACAAAAACCATCAACACACTAAGTATCGCTATAAAGTCGTCTTCCTATTTCAGAGTTTTCTGGTTATCACTGTATTTGAATCAATTATCACAAAAACCATCAACACACTAAGTATCGCTATAAAGTCGTCTTCCTATTTCAGAGTTTTCTGGTTATCACTGTATTTAAATCAATTAACACAAAAAAGTATTAAACTTTTCAAAATGACAGCGGAGTTTGAAAATATCACCGATCAATGCTAAACAGTATGTTGTCGATTTTATTGTTTTCTAAACTTAAGCGACAGGATTTTTTTGAAAACATTTTCTTACCAAGCTTAGCAAGAAGTTCATCATCAGCTATGTAGGGTAAAACAAGAACTTTGAGCTCCACGAACTAAAAATAAAAAATTATGATAAGAGGTTTATTTTTAATTTTGGGAATTAATTTTAAAAAAGTCACAAGCCGGAATCAAACGTCAAGTAAAACATGTAGAATTGTATTTGTAGATTGTCCATACTAATACTAAGATTTACTTAAAATAGTATAAAACCCATTGAAAAATTGTCAATACGACATTTTATAAATTCTTTCGATGTATTTAAAATTTAGGGTTTAACTGTAGCATCCACTTTTTTCGCAACATTTTTTTTCGAAGTGATAGACGGAAAAATTAGAAGAAAAAATAGTCATATTTTTATACAAAGTTCTAAGAACCCTGGCAGGGTATATATATAAGAGCCTTTTACAAATATATAAATCCTCCACGACGCACCTCTATTATTGCGATGCACCGTTTTTCCTTTTTGTGTAACTGAATGTATCTAGCTGTGTGACTATTTTGCACTGCATTCTTTAATGACAATTAATTAAACAAAGATAAAGGTTGTCACACATCTATTGGACCCACGAGAATAGCTCTAAATTCGAATTTTTTTGGAAAGAACAGTAAACCTAAACTTATGTTGGTTTAAAATTTGCATACCAAAATTAAAATGTTCAATATTCTTTGCATATTTTGGCATTAAAGCTTCGATATAATATGATGGGACGCTGCTCTATAACAAGTCTTTGCCACAAACTCAAATTTAAATATATTATATATATATTATTTTTTTGCAAGTTGCAACCCAATGGACATTTGACATTTCAAACTTAGATTATTTCAATTTAATCCAACTCAATTAAAAATATATTTTTCTAAAAAGCAAACAATAACAGAATTTATAGTTTAAAATATCTGGTCTTCGGCATTGGGTTGCAAAGATATTGGGATTAGAAAATCAGAGTTTGAGTCACAAAAACGTATTTAGTTTACCTTATTAAGTATGTTCATTAGAAGAAACCTTTCCGAATAGTGTAATTCCTGAAAGAATCAGATGTTTTTATAGATCATGTTTTAATCTGAATCTTTAGTTTTTTTCTCAGTGTTCCTCAGATATCTCAATGATGATTTTTAGTATTGCGCGGGCCTTATAAAAGGCTCCAAATTTGACATGGAACAATTTTGTGAGTGTTGAGTAAAAACGTATTTTTAATACCACCAATCAATTAAAGATTTTTTTAGTCGAAAAATTGAATTTTTCTGAAAAAAACTTGGAAATAAGATTACTTATACAGATGTTGAGATGTCTCAAATGAAACCTTTATGTATCTAGCTAAAAAAAAATATTTTACATATACTAATAATCTTTTATGTATAAGCTAAAAAAAATGTCGTCAGTTTGGCTAATCAATACTATATAATTGCCACATGCTACTTGATCTTTTTCCCTGCAAATATCTGAACAAAGACAGTAAAGAAGGGGTAGCAGAGCCCTTTTTAAAATTTTCAGTTTTAAAGTACCCTTTTAAAGGACTCTTCATAAAAGGTCGGATAAACTTTCACATTTTACCCCAAAATCCTGGGAATAACTCCAATATCCTGGAAGCACTCCAAAACCATGGTAGCAATTCCAAAACCCTAAGTGCAGCCATCCCTCCCTCGTCAAGCTAATCAGGCCATACCTCCCTCATCGATCCAATCACGCCATCCCTCCCTCGTCGAGCCAATCAGGCCATCCCTCCCTCGTCGAGCTAATCAGGCCCATCTTTTTGTGGTTACTCAACTGACCCCAGGGAAAATTTATGGTCAAAGTTAAAATATAATTGTAATTTTTTTTTATTCCACGGGCAACTTCAGGAACTTCAGCTGGTAATTTATAAAAGCCTTGTTAATTACCATGAAAATAAGCAAAGTGAATAAATACTAAAGTGGGCCAAACTCGTAGTTGGATGACGACATTTTATGTCCCAAGTATTTAAAAACAATATATATACATATATATATAAATTGGTCTGTAAACGGAGTGTAAAGTACAACGGAAACTGGACTCCCTTTGTTTACAAACACTGACTTAGAATTTGAATTTAACTTAATTAAATATAGATCAACGTAAATTAAGATTTCAGAAGTGAATTTTAGCCATTTTACTGCACAATAAATAATTTCAGACAGCACAATAATCCCTGCATGCATAATCTGTAAAACAAGGAATGCAGAATTTGTGAAATCGAAAAATAAAGATCTTCGAAATATATCTCTTGGTCTTCACTTTTTTGACAGATTTAAGAGTAGTTGAGAACTTGAGAACTAGACATAGCTTTAATGATATTAAGAGAGGCGTATTCAGGTTATTTTTCCCAAGAGGGGTTTACATTTATTTTTCTTTTTAGGGGGGGAGGGCAAAAGAAAACTAAGCAGTTTTAAAGATAAATTCTTATAGAATTAGAATTGCAAGCCTGCCAGGCAAAACCAATGAATTTATTAAGCGACTATATAGTATTTGCATATAAAACACATACAAACATACGAAGACGACATATACATGGGTCATTAGTCTATTTTTTCTAGTCTTTACTTTCCAAATGAAATCTTTTCATGCAATTATTTCCAAACCAAATAAAACCTGTCGTCATTGCCTTAGTCTGTTAACCACTTTAATATTTATTCACTTTGGAAAATAAGAGCGAAGCACCCAGTAAACCTTATTTAAAAAAATAACATCAAACCTGAAATTGAAAGATTGGAGTTTTGTAGCAAGAGAAAACCATTTTCTTGATTCCTGGATTAAAAATGCAATATTTTAATATTAGTATTTATTATCTATCTATCTATAATTATATCATTATACTTAGAATTTTCAAATTTAAGAAATGTCTAATTTTCATTTCTTAAATCCTACCTAATACCCTACCTACCTACCTACCTAATACCCCACCTACATATCTACCTACCTACCTACCTAATACCTTACCTACATCCCTATCAACCTACCAATCTAGCTTTCCATTTACCTACAAACTACCAAAATTACCAAAACTTCCTTAAACCTACCTACCTACCTACCTACCTACCTACCTAATACCCTACCTACCTCCCTTTCAACCTACCAATCTAGCTTTCCATTTATACCTACAAACTACCATAACTTCCTTAACCCTACCTACCTACCTACCTACCTAACTACCTACCTACCTACCTACCTACCTACCTACCTACCTACCCGATTGTTTAGAATGTAATAAATGAAGAAACTTCATCCTAGCCTCCTGATTCCAATGGAGATCTGTCCACACCTGAGAATAGAGATAATTAATCAACATTTCGGGGCCCATCGTATTATTTCTTTTATTGCAGGGCCTATCTATGTAATTCTTTTTTATTGTTAGAACTACTATTTGTTTAATATTTTTCAATTTTTATCAAAAGTATTTTTTGGAGCCCATATATTAACTTAATATCATATTTACCTCAATCGAACTCATGTTTGGAGAGTAGAGGACCTCAGCCAGGGAGGATATGATAATAGGAATAGTTGAGGAGTTATACGGGGTCACCCTAAACATTTAGAAAATTTAGGGGGTCACCTTGAACATTCAGAATATTTAGGGGGTCACCTTGAACAATTATAATTTGTAGGGGTCACCCTAAACATTTACAATATGCAGGGGTCACCCTGAACATTTTGAATATTCTGTGGGTCACTCTGAACATTTAAAATCATAGAGAATAGAATATATAGAGTGGAATTAAAAGAATCTCTCGGTATGAATTTTATCAGTCCCTTTCAGCCTGAAAGGGAGTTCAAAGTGTACAAATCATGTAAATGTTCACAAATTATATGCAGTAAAGTACATTCACCCTAAACATTTAGAACATGGAGGGGGTCACCCTGGACATTTAGAATAATATGTAGGGGGTCAGCCTGAATATTTAGAATATGCAGGGTGCAGCAGAGACACGGAAGAACATCAACGGAATACAATGTTCAGCATAGAAAACGACAATATATCTTCCTCGATTTTATTCAGAAGTTGGTTTTAAGGATACCGTTGTAAATCGGGCATGTTTCTCTTTTAAGGTAAAATGTGAACAGTCCCTTTAAATAATATGTATAGTTGACCTGGCAGCAGATCGAAGTATTCCTTTAACACTACTCTCCAGCAGCTCCTGTTGTAGTAAAGGGGGGAGTATGCTCACCCACTCTCTAGAAAAAACAAAAATTGTAAAAATGTTAACAACAAAAAAACATGTTTTGGTATTACTTTTCAGGGTTTAAAAAAGTAAGCTGAATATCTATTGCTTCATTATTCTGAAAGCTAAGGGCTACTATGTCTCTGAAAGTATTCTTCATTTAGAGAAATATTTTTTTGTAATGTGATTTTTTTGAAGAAAAATAAAACTTTCAATACGTAAGTATCAATATATTTCCGCCGTAAGTAAATTGAGTGTATATGTATATTAAGCATAATCGTTTAATGGCCTATTGAAGACAATCCGCGATGAAAAATGGCAAACAAAATGTCTCTGGGTTACCTTGGTCATTGGAAAATTCTCAAAAAATATAAATGTATATATTTTTCATCATCTATAATAATAACCTTTAAAGGGTTCGATTATTCTTACAACTATTCGTAAAAAAGCTTGTGAAAGATAACTTTAAAGATGAAAATATTCAAATCTACTATTTTTTTGTTGTTTTTTATTTCATAACCTTACCTTAAAGATCTTTCTACTGGTTCTGGAATATAGATGGATTGGAAGTTTAAAGTTCCACTCCATATTGTCTCAACTACCTAAATATTAACATATTTGTTAAAAGGTTTTTGGTGTTAAATATATAAAAATATGCTTAAATTTAACTTTTTTGGCATTAATTTTACAATGCTCCCTTCAACCCCTGACTGGTTAGGATTACCCTGTGATATATCGAATAAAGATTAAATTAATCTGCAGATTAACAAAACCTATCCACAAACATATTTTTTTCAGAGTTCCCAAAGAGTTCACACCGATTCATCAGTTTTTGCATTTGTATTTATTGTTTAAAGGAATTGAGTATTTGCAACAACAAAGCAAATTTTCTAATCCCTAAATCTTTTTGCAGCCCAGCCCAAATGTCGTTATAGCTAGACCATCGAAACTTCAAACTATGTTTAGCAAATAATTTAGGCATTAAATAGCAAAGGTTTACACCACCAGGTTGCTAAGATTATGGGTATTTGAAAATTGATTATATTCATTTGTCGTTTCTCTATACAGCGACCTGCGAGTTTCTGCTTCAGAAAAAAAAGAAAATTATAAGATTTGAATATTTTTGAAATAAGAAATATATACAAAGATATTTTTCACAATATTAATCACTATTCATTGTTTCCTGTTTTTCTTCAGTGGCAAAAATAATATTCTAAATATAAAAAAGTAGTGAAACCAGAAAACAGTTAAATATTTTTTTCTTCTAATTCATCAGTTTTTACAATTTTACTAAATTATTTTTAATTAAATGAATTAATCAAATACATAAAAATAGATAAGCTAAAATAGCATTTACAAAAAATGATCATATGTATTTATTTGTATAAAGGAATGGAGTCTTTACCACAAACTCTGATTTTCTAATCCCTATATCTTTGCAACCCAATATCGTAGATCTTTGAAATTTTAAACTATGAATTCTGTTAGAATAGATATTATAAAGGAATTGAGTCTTCACCACAAACTCTGATTTTCTAATCCCTTTATCTTTGCAACCCAATATTGTAGACCTTTGTTTTTTCAAATTATGAATTCCGTAAAAATAAAAAGTATAAAGAAATGAGTATTTGCCTCAAACTCTGATTTTCTATTCCCTATATCTTTGGAACCCAATATTGTAGACCTTAGATTTTTCAAACTATGAATTCTGTTAGAATAGATATTATAAAGGAATGGAGTCTTTACCACAAACTTTGATTTTCTAATCCCTTTATCTTTGCAATCCAATGTCGTAGACTTCAGATATTTAAGCTATAAATTCTGTTTGAACAAATAATCTGAGCTTGAAATATCAAACGTTTACTTACATTACCAGGTTGAAAAGATATAATTTTAAGATAAAATATTTAAGTTTGTGGCAAAGACTCAATTTCTTTGAAATGTCAATTTTATTTTTGTGACAAAGACTCGATTCTTTTTGAATAAAAATGTAATTATACCTTTTCAGAAACTAGCTGGCAACTTAAATCCCTAAAATAAAAGGTTATTAAGAATATAGTAATTAAGTTGTAAATCTTTAAACCCTCCATGCAAATATTATATTGCCCTATTCACCCTCTAGTATACCCTTTAGACACCTTTATATGATCAATGATGTAGCAGATATGGTTGGTTTCTAGTTTAAAAAGTGTTTAATTCTGATATAATTCATTATATGTTCTGCAGAAAAAATGCACAATTAATCAGTTTTTAAACTTATAAACGCTCATATCTAATTCATATTTAATAAGACAAAACTTTCAAGGGTACCGTTGTGAATTAAGCATTGTCATCTTTGCATGGAGGGTCAATTGAAATTCATTATGCTTAATCCCTTGAAGTCATGAAATAAAAAAGTTTAAATTACCTCAAAGTTAAAGGATTGTTTTCAAATTTCTCAACAACCTCAAAAATCATCCTAAAAATCAAGGTGAAAATAATCTTTAATATTAAAATACAGGGGTTTTATCCTGAAGATTTCAAAAGTGAATTTTTCAATCGAACAGTTGAACTTATGTGTTTGATTTTCAAATATACGATAGTATTTTCCACGGAAAAACAAGGGTGTCACCCTGTATAATAATTCATTTTAGTGACCAAAAGTGTAGCATTACTAATGAAATAGAAAGGATGATCTGGGATGCCCAAAATAAGAATTTATTTGGTCCTTTTCTTAAAGGGACTGTAAGTGTCATTTCAAGTGACCGTCCATTGAAAGATGACAATGCCCGATTTACAACGGTACCCTTTTTGATCAGATTGACGTTTCAAGGGCACCGTTGTAAATCAGGCTTTGCCATCGTTGCACGGACGGCCACAATTGAAATTATGCTTACAGTCCCTTTAAATTCATAGTTTCACTTTGTTTTACATTAAAAGTACTGTGAAACACTATTGATTAAATCAAATTTAGCTAGCTGAAGTGCCCGGCCATGTTCGTGAAATTAAAAAAATATATAGTTTTGAAGAAAAAATGTTTGTTTAAAAAAAATGGTAGCCTATGCTACCACAAGGGGTTTCCACAAAAAATGTCAGCCAGATTGGTCCAGCAGTTTGGCTAGCTATATACCTAACATATATATATATATATATGAGCGAAGAGCTTTGATTTATGTATATGTTGATGAAGGAAAACTGTAAAAAAACTTTTAAAATGTCGTTTTGTACGTTTTGAACGAGTTCTGTTATAACCAAGAAGCCTGAAAAATAATATATATTTTCCATGCTCCTGATTATAACTGTTTTGTATATGTTTTGTTCAGGGCTATTTATTTACATAAATATATGAATATATACAGTTCACACATAGGTTATTAACATTTCTAAAATAAATCACTTTAAAACCAACATTTTTGATAAACTGCTCATTTTCCGTGGTAAGGAGACATTAAAAAATATCTTTATTTGTAAGGCCTTTGATTAGTTATACTTTTTTGTAGCCCTAGACATGTACTTTTTAATTCTAGTTTTCAAGAAAAAATCATCGATTTTTTGCGCGTGTGCTTGCAACCTTTGGATCACTGTGAGCTATTGATTTTCATAAATTTTGCTTTATGCTATAATTTTTTTTATTGATTTAATTGATTTACCTTATAATATTCTAATAAAGCAATTTTCGAAAGTTTGTTTTAAAAGTAATAGATTAAGTTGTATAAAACAGTTTTTTTGTCTCTTGAAGATGTTGTTGTTGTTGTTGTTTCACTCTTGGTTAATATCAAAATACTGGAGAACGATGTATTGAAGAAGTAATCTAAAAACGAAGCAGCTGCACAAATGGGTCAACTGCGCAGATTGATTGATAGATAGATAGATACACAGATAGAAAGATAGAAAAATGGGTAAGAACATTTAGAAAGATATAAAGATAGAAAACAAAGAAAACACCTCAAAATCGTCAACAAAAATAATATTGTCTACTCTGAAAAATTAAATACTCTCTCTGAAAAATAATGAAAGCAGATAAATAGATAAACTGCATATGGGGAAATAGATAGATAATTAGATAGATAAATAGAAAGCGGAGACAACTTTCTATCTTATGTGCTAAAAGAAATTCTTGTAATAATTTCAACTTTTCCATATCTTAATATCTTACAGAAAACATATTTTTATTCAAAATGATAAAACAATTAAATAGAAATTTCCCATTTGAGCCATGCCAATATCTCAATGTTTAAGGGAAAAAATATTTGTTGCAATACTAACTTTTCTGGAAGTAAATTAACAAAACTCTATCACTTTGTTTATATTTCCCCCCAAAACTGCAGTACAATTATACTAAACAATAGGCCGGGTCAAGAGTCTCTTAATAGCACTCTTAACTAATCCTGGTTGGTAGGATCATCTACCCTACGCGTTCATAAGTTGTGCTAATACCGGTATTAACAGAAATGCCAGTTTTACTAAGAGCGGTGTTAGCTAATCCACCCGCAGGGTAGATTTAGGTAGGATGATCTACCCTAAATAACCAGTTCTACCAGTATTAATTTGGTTTGGATTCGATATTCTCGCAACCTCATGAAATATGCAGGGATGTTTAAAATACAGGGATGCATAAAAAACGAAGAAATACTTCTTATTTTGCTTAATTCAGAAAAATGACCCCCCCCCCCCCCCCTCCTCCTTACATAACTATATTAATAAAATGTGTTGAATATAAAAAAAAACATTTTATGAGCAAAACTTTATTAAAGATTTTTTTTTCTAAAAAATATATCTTGTTGAAAAGTTTTTATTTTTTTAACTTTGATAATGAAATGTAAAAAGTTTAGTTTGCAAGATATTTTCATAAATTTTTAATCTATCTTTCGTCATATAATAAAAAATGTATTATTCAAAAGTCGTCTTTATAATTATTAACAAATTATTAAGTTGAGAAGAGGAAAGAGTTGCGCAGAAGAGTCAAAACGGTAAAGTTTGGATGATAATCCTGGTTTTAGCTAGGATGACTTATGAACGCATCAGCTGTTCTAGGCTAGATAATCCTGCCACAAATTAGGCAGCATTAGCGACTTATGAATCCGTATTTCCTAAACACCGGTGTTAGTGTTAAGAGTGGTATTAGAGCGGTATTAGCTAATACCGCTCTTAAGATACCGGACTCTTGACCCGGCCAATAACCAGTTCTACCAGTATTAATTTGGTTTGGATTCGATATTCTCGCAACCTCATGAAATACAGGGATGTTTAAAATACAGGGATGCATAAAAAACGAAGAAATACTTCTTATTTTGCTTAATTCAGAAAAATGACCCCTCCCCCCCCCTCCTTACATAACTATATTAATAAAATGTGTTGAATATAAAAAAAAACATTTTATGAGCAAAACTTTATTAAAGATTTTTTTTTCTAAAAAATATATCTTGTTGAAAAGTTTTTATTTTTTTAACTTTGATAATGAAATGTAAAAAGTTTAGTTTGCAAGATATTTTCATAAATTTTTAATCTATCTTTCGTCATATAATAAAAAATGTATTATTTAAAAGTCGTCTTTATAATTATTAACAAATTATTAAGTTGAGAAGAGGAAAGAGTTGCGCAGAAGAGTCAAAACGGTAAAGTTTGGATGATAATCCTGGTTTTAGCTAGGATGACTTATGAACGCATCAGCTGTTCTAGGCTAGATAATCCTGCCACAAATTAGGCAGCATTAGCGACTTATGAATCCGTATTTCCTAAACACCGGTGTTAGTGTTAAGAGTGGTATTAGAGCGGTATTAGCTAATACCGCTCTTATACCAGTCTTAAGATACCGGACTCTTGACCCGGCCAAATGATATGGCACTGGGAGTTCCTGGTTTATCTTCCTTATTATCGAGTAAAAATCTAGCACTCGGTGTACTGAACATTTAGTATACAAACAGGTTTCAGTCATAAACAAGTTGTATACAACACTTGTACAGAACAATATTTGCTTATAAAATGAGCGTATCTCCATATTCATGAATTTTTTTAAATTTTGAATTTTGTATTTCAGAAATTTTAAATGATTCTGTTTCTTATTATTTGGGAAATTTTACTCCCCTGTTCATCAGCTTTGGTGAGTGAAAAATAGTATTTCTGCATTAGAAATAAAGCTCTTTGCTCATATTTGTATATATGTATATTTGTATATGTATATATGTATATTTGTATATGTATATATAGAGAGAGAATGGGCTCTGTATTATTATTATTCTACGTGGTGGGACCCAAATAACTGTATCAAACAAACTTGAAATTGCTGAAATTTCGTCTTTTTATTACAAAGTTTTATTGACCCATTTGCAGGCCCTATCTATTACAGATTTTAAGTTTTGTTTATAATGAAATGTATATGTTCTCTTCAATTCGTTAATTTAAAAGTATTCTTAAAGATAATTATTTTTGCAGATTAAATAAGGTTATGAGATATTTTAGATTCATTATTCTCCTGGACTAGATATTTCAGGGTTATTATTCTCCTGGTTTATATATTTCAGATTTATTATTCTGCTGGTTTATATATTTCAGTATTATTTTTCTCCTGGTTCATATATTTCAGGATTATTATTCTTCTGGATTAGATATTTCAGGGTTATTATTCTCGTGGATTAGATATTTCAGGATTATTATTCTTCTGGATTAGATATTTCAGGATTATTATTCTCGTGGATTAGATATTTCAGTATTATTATTCTTCTGGATTAAATATTTCAGTATTATTATTCTTCTGGATTAAATATTTCAGAATTATTATTCTTCTGGATTGGATATTTCAGGATTATTATTCTTCTGAATTAGATATTTCAGTATTATTACTCTCCTGGATTAGATATTTCAGAATTATTATTCTCCCGAATTTGATATTTCAGTATTATTATTCTTCTGGATTAGATATTTCAGGATTATTATTCTCCTAGATTAAATATTTCAGGATCATTATTCTCCTAGATTAAATATTTCAGTATTATTATTCTCCTGGATTGGATATTTCAGGATTATTATTCTTCTGGATTAAATATTTCAGGATTATTATTCTTCTGGATTAGATATTTCAGGATTATTATTCTCTGGATTAGATATTTCAGGGTTATTATTCTCGTGGATTAGATATTTCAGGATTATTATTCTTCTGGATTAGATATTTCAGGATTATTATTCTCGTGGATTAGATATTTCAGTATTATTATTCTTCTGGATTAAATATTTCAGAATTATTATTCTTCTGGATTGGATATTTCAGGATTATTATTTGAATTAGATATTTCAGTATTATTACTCTCCTGGATTAGATATTTCAGAATTATTATTCTCCCGAATTTGATATTTCAGTATTATTATTCTTCTGAATTTGATATTTCAGGATTATTATTCTCCTGGATTGAATGAGATATTATCTGGTTGGAGGCCCCCTTCTCCTTTATCTACATTTAACCAAGAGGTAAGTTTACACTGCCAGAAGTGAATTATACACTTATGACAGACATCAAAATCTTTGATAATTCTAATTTACTTTGTGAGTAGCTAACCTAATCCTGTTACACATCGTCATATGTTAATGCTACATCAAGTCAATATGTGCCTTTTAATCTTCGCATCTGTTATCTATATATAAATTTGGCTTGTCTGTCTGTTTGTTTGTATCCAATAAACGTCAAAACGGCTGAACCGGTTCGGCCCAAATTTTGTGTGCGACCCCATGGGGAAAGTTTATGAATGATCAAAATTTCAAATATGTGTCTTCATCAAAATTGGATTTTCATTAAATTTTTGAAGATTTTGAAAATCCACGAAATTTTTTCTTAAAATCCGCAAGCTTTTTTTTGTTTTGTTTTACGATGTACACAAAGAGAACATGTTCACAATTAAAATAGAAGATGAGCGCGAAGCGCCCTAAAAGGCTAGTTTATTTATAAAAGACAAACATAGAACATGGGCAAACGTAGGAAAACAAACGTGGGAGAACAAACGTAGGACAGCTTAAAATGTAGAAATAAAGAAAACCTAATTACCCATCTCAACAAATAATTAATTCGCTTCAAAAAGTCTTTCTCTCTTGTTTTTATCCTTCTGTATTTAAAATTATGTTCATTAAGAAAATGTTTGCTACCCTATTATAAAGGAAATGGATCTAGCACGTGATGGTTCCATTCTCAACTCAATGTTTTAGATTATTGTGAAATTTCTTTTTTCGTAGATTCAAAAGAATTTTATAGCTTAACCCTATAAAGGCTGGGGGTCTGAATCTATGTAAAGCCTGCGGGGCCCACCCCCCTAGAAAAGGGCCTTAGAGAATAGGTATACGGTTGAAATGCATGTTCATAGCCCAATTTTTCATGGCCAGCTCAAAGAAAAACATTTGACCGATAACTTTAATAGTTTGGGTGCTAGGGGAGGATGGAAAAAAATGCCTAGAAAAGGTTAAAACAATGAAAAAAATATATTAAAAAAAAACAAATATCAAAGTGTGACACATGTTTTTACGTGCATTTTTAAGGGCTTTTCAAAAATATAGTTTTTTAGATCTGGAGCTTTAGTCACAAAAAAGTTATGGGCTACTTTAGATTTTTTTTTCACAGACCGGACTTTTTTCCGCCTTGTACCCTACCCTATAAATAAAAAAATTTAAACAACAAATTCTTTAAATTACTATTCATTAAAAGTCACAAAATATCACGGGGATAGTGTCAAAAATAGGAGTGCCTGGTTAGGGTTAAATTATTACATATCATGGTTTTCATTTTCCTGTCCCAGGTTTGTCTATATTCTAATTTTGTCTTGTTCTGCGTTTGTCTCCGTCTTATGTCCTACGTCTGTCCCTGTTTTAAGTCATGGTCCTGTCCTACGTTGGTCCTGTCCATGCCTCGTCCCTATTTTTGTCTATCCTATGCTTATCTTGTCCTACATTTGTCTGTCCCACTTTTGTCCTAATTCCATCTTTATCTATACAGCGCACACAAAGGACAATGTTTAATACTTTTTCTTATTGAAAACAAGTTCCAATCTATAATTTTTTATCTTTTTATCTATTATTTCTATCGATTTCAATTATAAGATTTCTTCTGACAATCTTTATGCGCATTCATTAAATGTTAACACGTGTACAGAAATTTGTCCAAGGGACGGCATGTTATGCACTCTTAAAGAATTAGCCTTAGATGATGATCTTAATTTCTTCTATCATATAAGCGTGAAGTTTTAAGCGACTGTCTAGTTTTCTGACGCTCTAGCACCCTAGTACGCGAACCGATATGGCTGACAAGCACATTTTTTGAACGGGCAAGGACCGGCCTATCTGGTCCCTGAATCTTGCCAAGATCCGGGAACTTTCAAAAAGCTTAAACGGGAATAATGTCTTGCAATTTCAATTTCTTTCATTGCATGTCTATACTTTCTATTTTTTGCCCCGGACTACTAAATTACAAAAAAAAATACTTTTTATATGGGAAAACTTGTAAAAACATATTATTTTGTATAAATGATTTTTTAGATTTAAAAATAAACACTTTTTTTGTAATCTTCAGCTAAGGCGTCTATATGTAGAGTATAAAACCTGGATTTAACATTGTCTATTTTTACCAGTAATAGCCAGCTTACCATTGATATCTGCTGTAGAAAATGCGATTTTGCCAATTTCTAACAAAAAATCCGGTTTGGAACTAATGTCCACTGATATGGCTGTTTTGTAAAGTCAAAATGTGTAATCACTTATTTTAGAAAATAGGCGGAGGCAGTTCTTCTTATGGAAAACAGTCTGAAACTATTCATCGCAAGTAAGTCAAGAAAATAGAGAAAATGTATTCATCATATTAGATGTTCCCGTACATATTCTTCTAACTGTACTGTACTGTTAAGTGCTACGTGTACCAGTATTAGATGTTCCTGTACATATCCTCTAACTAACCTGTAAAGTTACAGTACCAGTATTAGATATCTTGAACATATTCATCCAACTGTACTGAACTATTTAGAGCTACAGTACCAGTATTAGATGTTCCTGTACATATCCCTCCAACAGAGAAGAATATTTGTGATGGAACTAAACCCTATTGCTTGGACGTAAGTTAACATTAACATTGAAATTTAACATTCACAATTCAATAAAGTTTATGGTTGTCAGTATATAAAGTTAATATAAACATTAACATTAGCATTGACTTTAAACAATTCATTAAAGTTTATGGTTGTTAGTATATAAATTAAACATTAACATTAACATTGAGTTTTAACAATTCATTAAAGTTTATGGTTTTCAGTATGTAAAGTTAACATTAACATCAACATTGACGTTAAACAATTGATGTTTATTTATATGTTAATATTAATTAACATTAACATTTTTATGTTAATATTAACATTGAGTTTTAACAATTCAATAAAGTTTATGCTAGTCAGTATGTAAAGTTAACATTAACATCAACATTGACTTTAAACAATTGATTTTTATTTATATGTTAATATTAATTAACATTAACATTTTTATGTTAATATTAACATTGAGTTTTAACAATTCAATAAAGTTTATGCTAGTCAGTATGTAAAGTTAACATTAACATCAACATTGACTTTAAACAATTGATTTTTATTTATATGTTAATATCAATTAACATTAACATTTTTATATTAATATTAACATTAATTAAATTTATTAAATCTTCAATGGTCTCATATAGAGCCTCTAATGTTAGGGTTCGGTAATTTAAATATTTTCCCAATTGATCAAATTTTTCAATTTCAATTTTGCCACCTATTAAAACGTTCTAAAGAGGATTTGTAATTATAAACAAAACAGAATGTTTTGTTGTGCACATATGTATAATTACAATCGAAAAAAGTTAGGCCGACTATTTTGAAATATTTCGTTTATTTCCGCTATTTATTTGTAATTAGTTCGGTAGGGCACACAATGTTTCAGTGTACCCCCCCCTCTGGAAAATTTCATAGGCCCTTTCTTTAGAATTTGGATATACGCAGCATAGATGGGACCTGTAACAATGTGAAGAACCCATATTGGGGAGCTAGTGGAGCTCATTTTACCAGAGTAAACGGACCCAGGTAATCAATATTGGGGAGCTTGTGAAGCTCCCTTTACCAGAGTTAACGGACCCAGGTAATCAATATTTATAAACTTGTGAAGCTCTAATTACAAGGGTTTCCGGACTCAGGTAATCATTATAGAGGAGGTTGTGGAGCAATTCCTTTACCAGGGTTGCCGGACCAGGATACTCAATAATAAAGCACTAGTGGAGCTACCTTTACCGGGGTTACCGTACCCATGGTAATTAATATTGGGGTGCTAATGGAGCTCCTTTACCAGGATTACCGGACCAAAGTTATCGATATTGGGGTGGTAGTGTAGCTCCCTTTACCAGGATTACTGGACCCTGCAGGTAATAAATGTTGGGGAGCTAGTGGAGCTCCCTTTAATATAGGGTCTTCTGGAAATTACGACTACAATTCCTTTAAGCATAGAAGGAATTTGTTGTATTTTTGTTTTTGTTTAGATATGCTTCTAGTCCTCCAGATACTGATATTAAAACCATCTCTGTTTAGATATGCTTCTAGTCCTCCAGATGCTAATATTAAAACCATCTCTGTTTATCTATGCTTCTAGTCCTCCAGATGCTGATACTAAAACCATCTCTGTTTAGATATGCTTCTAGTCCTCCAGATGCTGATACTAAAACCATCTCTGTTTAGATATGCTTCTGGTCCTCCAGATGATGATATTAAAACCAACACTGTTTAGATATGCTTCTAGTCCTCCAGACGCTGATACTAAAACCAACTCTGATCCTCTAACATCAATTTTACCCAACCCAAAGTTAGTCATTTAAACATAGTTGGATTATTGGATTATGATGGAGCTTATTACTCACAATCTCTATTTAAATTTTCACTAATTTTGACTGTTAAGAATTTAAAGTTAGAAATACCGAATGGGACAAAAATTAACACATTTGAAAAGCATAGGCATTGCATACTAATATTTTAAATTTTTTGATTTGTTTAACAATTTTTTTACGCTCTTCTTGAAAGCTTCTTAAACCTTCCAGGCACCTCAACTATCGAAGTTAGCAGATTAAAATATTTGAAAAAATAAAAAATGACTTAATCACAACTTGACGCACACAAATATTTTGCTCTATCTAATGGATTCTATTATAAACAAGTCCTTTATCTATTTGGATATATTTGATAGAAGTCACATTAAGGTTGTTAAGTGCTGCAATATTTAAAACTCCCCCCTCCGGAGAACTAAAGAGGGATACGAGCAAGTCGATGCTAGCCATGGCAATGATGCATTTTGTTCTAAACGACCTCAGGTAAATTTCATATTCCGGAAATAATTTTCAAAATCCGGAAATAAATTTCATTTCCGGAAATAAGTTTCATAATCCCGAAATAAATTTCATATTCCGGAAATAAGTGTCATTTTCCGGAAATAAATTTCATAATTCGGAAATAATTGTCAAAATCCAGAAGTAAGTTTTATATTCCGGAAATAAATTTCATAATACGGAAATAAATTTCATATTGAGAAATAAATTTTTTTATTCCGGAAATAAATTTCATTTTCCGGAAATGAATGTCATTTTACGGAAATAAATATCATTTTCAGGAAATAAATGTCATTTTCCGGAAATATATGTAATTTTCCGGAAATAAATGTCATTTTCCGGAAATATGTGTCATTTTCAGGAAATAAATGTCATTTTCAGGAAATAAATGTCATTTTCTGGAAATAAATTTTAAAATCTGGAAATAAATTTTACCTTTTGAACAGTTTCGTTGTTGAGTGAATACAAATATTTAGTTTGCCTGCTGAGCCTGGAAATACAAATCTTGATTGCTGTAGAGAGGATGTAGATAAACCTGAGGTAAACCAAGTTCTTAAGTTTAGAGTTATTCTAAAACATTTTTTTTCATTATTTTTATTTCCGTCTCTGGCTTTTCTTTTGAGCAATTTGTAGTTTTTTCACATTACCAAGTAGATTTGTTGCATTCATGATACGAAATTAATATATTATGTAATCGGTGTATAGACGGAATTTTTATTTTTTTTCTCACTGCATTGCTATGGTCATTTAATCCTCATTTTTAAATAATACTATAGTTTAACGTGGTAAATTGTTGAAACCATTTTATTTTACATGGGTACGTTCTTTAACATTGCAATACTTAGATTGGCATGTCCGATTCACAATGATACCCTTAAAAGATTTGTCTGATCAAGAGATTAGGAGATATCCATCGGCTTTCTTTTTGGAAATTAAGTATTTAAAAAAATTGTAAAATTATACTCATTTCAAACTCTTATCATTAAAGGTGAAAGCCTTCCGTTGTGAATCGAGCATTCAGTTCTTGAAATTCCAATTCACTTGAAATTCCAACAACAGTCCCTTTAATAATTCCAATTATATGTTCAGTGCTGGCCTATTGTAGATCCTGGATCTGTAGAGGAGCAGAATAATATAATTATATGTTTAGTGCTGGCCTATTGTAGATCCTGGATCTGTAGAGGAGCAGAATAATATTTGTGAAGGTAAATTTATTAACAAGGCGCTGAGCAGTATCAAAAGTTTTTACGCGATTTTAGAGTTTTAAATCTGTTTTGTTGTTTCTGAGTTAGGAGTTTATTAAATACTAGTGTAGCCATCCCCCCCTCCCCCCCCCCATACTTCTTCCATTTTCGTAAACCAAATTTATTTTTTGGCATACAGTGAGACCCATAAACCTGTGAAATAGGAAGACGACTGTTTAACTCAATAAACATGAAACCCACTAATATTTAAGATTCCGGTAAAACTACTTGCTTATTCTACATTAAGAGAGAAGATTGCTTAAATATCGTCTTTCTATTCCACAGTATTCCATGGGTATCATCCCTAAATCAAATGTAACAAATTTTAATAAATTAGGTGGCGGAATTTTTTGTTTAACTTCATGATTTTTGTAAAATGGCAGCTAAATCTTTAAGGGGTTGTACACTCTAAATTTGGCTCAGAATAAATGCGAAAACTTTAGACCCCCCCCCCCCCCCCCCCTCCATGGGGTTACTAAATGTAACTCCGCCGTTTACTTGCAGTTGAACGATGTTACTGGGAAACTAAATTTTCGCTAGTAAAGTCTACCAACTCATGACCTAGAATCTCAAACCTAGCTAAGAACATTCCCGTGTGTTCTCTTTCAAAATTTGACGCAAATCGGTCCAGGGGTTCTCTAGAGATTATCGGACAATTAAACAGAAAACAGAAATTATAACTTTATATATATAGATAGTCAAACTAAAGTAATATGCAAGTAATATTGAAATCTTTTATGTTTTTTATCATAACTCCTCTAAGCTATAAGTGAGAAGAAAAAAATGTTTGAATTCATAATATGTATCCAAATAAATTTGCTTTCTTACATAAAACCAGAACTAACGGAGCAATGTAGTCACAAAGTTGTAACTGTAATGTTAATTGAATTTGACCTTCTGCTCTTGGTTAGTTTTCAGTGAATAATACATTTATCTAGTCCTATATAAAGTTAAATTAAATATCACAGATAGTATGGCGCAATTCATATTCTTTTAGATTAACGCATTAAAGAACGATGGAATCCATACAAAAAAATACACCCTTTCATATCGTTCTTCGAGAGCCCACTGCTCTTCTCCGACCAGAAAGCATAGTCGCAGAAGTTTTCTGGGGGCGGGGGGAGGGGGGTGAAAGGTACATCCAATAATAAAAAATATGCTATATGATAGATATGATATCTAGTAATGGGAGCTGAGAAGAGAGAGGAATGTTGCTCCCCTGATCCTGAATGGAAAACCTGTGGAGACTGTACTCCTTGCGGTAAGTGTTCTATTAAAGGGACTGTACTCCTTGTGGTAAGTGTTTTATTAAAGGTACTGTATTCCTTATGGTAAGTGTTTTATCAAACGGACTGTACTCCATGTGGTTAGTGTTTTCTTAAAGGGACTGTACTCCTTGTGGTTAGTGTTTTATCAAACGGACTGTACTTGTGGTTAGTGTTTTCTTAAAGGGACTGTACTCCTTGTGGTAAGTGTTTTATTAAAGGGACTGTACTCCTTGCGGTAAGTGATTTATTAAAGGGACTGTACTCCTTGCGGTAAGTGTTTTATTAAAGGGACTGTACTCCTTGTGGTTAGTGTTTTATTAAAGGGACTGTACTCCTTGTGGTAAGTGTTTTATTAAAAGGACTGTACTCCTTGTGGTAAGTTTTTTATTAGAAAGACTGTACTTTTTCTGTTAAGTGTTTTACTAAAGAGACTGTATCCCTTGTGGTAAGTGATTTCTTAGAGGGACTGTACTTTTTGTGGTAAGTGTTTTATTAAAGGGACTGTACTCCTTATGGTAAGTGTTTTATTAGAGGTACTGTACTTTTTGTGGTAGGTGGTTTATTAAAGGGACTGTACTCCTTGTGGTAAGTGTTTTATCAAAGGGACTGTATTACTCCTTCTGGTAAGTGTTTTATTAAAGGGACTGTACTCCTTGTGGTAAGTGTTTTATTAAACGGACTGTACTCCCTGTGGTTAGTGTTTTATTAAAGTGATTGTACTCCTTGTGGTAAGTGTTTTATCAAACGGACTGTACTCCCTGTGGTTAGTGTTTTATTAAAGGGACTGTACTTCTTGTGGTTAGTGTTTAATTAAAGGGACTGTACTCCTTGTGGGAAGCGTTTTTTTTAAGGGGCTGTACTCCTTGTGGGAAGTGATATATTGAAGGGACTGTACTCCTTGTGGTAAGTGTTTTTTTAAAGGGAATGTACTCCCTGTGGCTAGTGTTTTATTAAAGGGACTGTACTCCTTGTGGTAATTGTTTTATTAAAGGGACTGTACTCCTTGCGGTAAGTGATTAATTAAAGGGACTGTACTCCTTGCGGTAAGTGTTTTATTAAAGGAACTGTTTTCCTTGGTAAGTGTTTTATCAAAGTGACTGTACTCCTTGTGGTTAGTGTTTAATATTATTAAAGAGACTGTACTCCTTGTGGTAAGTGTTTAATATTATTAAAGAGACTGTACTTCTTGTGGTAAGTGTTTTAATAAAGGGAATGTACTCCCTTTTGTTAGTGTTTTATTAAAGGGACTGTGTACCCTGTGTAATCAAATGTCAACAATTAATTTTTTTATTTCTATGAAAATGTAAATTTTCCTGTGGCCGTGCCCTCTAAAAATAAAAAATAATATCAAAGTTTCAAAATGTATCAACAGTTAGTGACAGATTCTTTATTATATTGTTGTTCGCGTACTGGCATATTTGTGTGGTAGTCCCAAAACTGTACCAAACTAAATCTTTATTTAGAATTTGTATGCCAAACCTCTTATATGCTCTTTGAAATACCTTTAACAAAATGTGAACGCGGATTGCGCAAGTTTTGCACATTTTCAGTTTTTCTAAAATATACACATAGAGTTTCTGAAAAGGTTGCTAACTCTCATAATTTAGGGCATTTTTTAAAAATGTATAATTTTTCCTACTAAGAATATTTAGAATTTTGCAAACTTAATATTTTTTGACAGATTTGAAATGAAGTCCACAGGTTTTGTTGTGGCATTAAATGATTAAATATCGAAGAAATCATNCCCCCCCTACACATGAATGATGTTTAGCTTTTGATTCTCTGTTTTGATCTCGTTTGCAAAAATTTCGGCTTGCATTCGTAGAAAAAAATGCGTTTATCTGTTTCGCGAAAAAAGAATTAGCAAAATGTCTAAATACTGCATCCTTTTCGCTTCCTTTTTGCAAAATTCATTATCGCGAGAATATGCGAAATTTCGCAAAAAAAGTTTGCTAAATATGAAAAAAAAATTCGCAAAATTTCGTATTTTTCGCGAAAGTTTTATTTCGCTGGAAACCTTAATCTTGACGCATTAGATATGGCTGTTTTTTGTCATGTAATATACATTTTAGACTGCGAAACAAATGCCGACTGTCCCCTCAACAAAGCTTGTGAGGATTCTCAGTGTATAGAACCAACTTGTGAATCTTGCAACGAAGGAGAGTTCTGTCAAACCATCAACCATCAACCAACATGCAGAGGTGAATATATTACATTGAATCATGTCAATATATATAATTGTTGCATCATGGCAATGTAAATATATAGTAATTGGATCATGTCAAGATAAATAAATAATAGTTGCAATAATAGTTGCATCATGTCAAGGTAAATATTTAATAGTTGCACCTTGTCAAGGTAAATGTATAATAGTTGCATCATGTCAAGAAAAATATATAGTAGTTGCACCATGTCAATGTAAATATAAATAGTTGCACCATGTCAAGGTAAATATAAATAGTTGAAACATGTTAAGGTAAATGTGTATAAGTAGTTGCATCATGTCAATGTAAATATATGATAGTTGCACCATTTCAAGGTAAACGTATAATAGATGAATCATGTCAAGGTAAATATATAATAGTTGCACAATGTCAAGGTAATGTATAATAGTTGCACCATACCAAGGTAAACGTATAATAGTTGCATCATGCCAAGGTAAACGTATAATAGTTGCACCATGCCAAGGTAAACTTATAATAGTTGCATCATGCCAAGGTAAACGTATAATAGTTGCACCATGCCAAGGTAAACGTATAATAGTTGCATCATGCCAAGGTTTTTCTATTTTTATCTTGTTTAATTTAGATTGTTCCGAATTACCACCTAACCCAGACCAGCAATGGGAAGATGTTTGTAATTAATTTACTATCTTTAACTAATTCTCCAACTGCCACTTCTTTCGTCTTAAATAAAGAGTGTATCGCATTTGCTACTTGTGTGGAATGCACAATTCGGAATTTAATGTTGAAACAATTTATTTTCTGTTTATTTTACTAGCCCCATGCTAATACTAATTGATGTATTGATTTTATGTAATTGTTTACTTATTAAAATGATATTTGTAATGTTTTATCTATTCTTTTTAAATACAAATATTGTTAAGTTCAATTGTTTTTCATTCCTTGAATGAAAGAGAGACATTTTAAGGAAGATATAGAAACCAAATTCAAGGAGAAGTGAAAGGTAGTTGATTGTGGAATTACTTGAACTGCAATGTTTTCAAACTTAAACCGGCAAAACGATGTGGTTCAACCTAGTCTACATAGTTAAATTAATTCTTGCTTTCCATTAAATTTTTTCCCTGGAGTGATTTTTTTGCCATTGAGTGTCAGTTTTTAACATTCACAATAAATCGTTTTATTTTGAGTTACATTTTTTAAAAGTTGAGTATGTTATTTTTCGATGCATTAAAAATTCAAATTTATTCATTGTGGAACTATATTTTCAGAAAACAGCCCAGAATTAAGGTTAGTTTATGTAATCCCGGGGAGGGGGGGTTATAAATAAATTTTGGGCTATATAAGCAAATATCCTCCCCCCCCCCCGGACATGAGTGAGCGTGGAATAAATTTGTAATAAGTTTGTGTAATACGATATTCTGTAAATTTGCAGTACGTTGAATTGACGTTAGCAAATGAGATCGCGCCCAGGTTGCTGCGTTGATAAGTCTAGGGATTGTAGCCATGAAGATCGTGTTTTGTTTGAGACATTCATTAATTGATTGCTAGTGTCCGTATTGACATCAATAGCTAACAAGATCGCGCTTAGGTTGTGGTATTGATAGTTCCAGGGATTGTAGCCCTGTGAATCGTGTCATGTTCGAATTGGATTGAACCTGGACTGATACAGTTTATTGGACAAACTTTTAAGAGTATGGCAATTATTAGAAGTGCCTGATTTATATCATTGAAACAGGATGGTTGCACTTTATTTTAAACAGGAAACGAGATTTGTAGGGACTGGTTAAGCAATTTCAAATGATCCACTATTTTTAGGGCATTCATGTTACGTTTATAAGTCACCAGCGGACATTGTCCTTTTTTTCGTATTATGCTTTTTGGGACACCCTTAGAATTCACCGTTTTTTTTTTTGGGGGGGGGTCATTTTAAGTTTGATTAACTTGCTTTTATGACTCTCAGTTTAATTGTCATAAAACTCATTCCCTCAAAATACTGGTTTTTGGTTTAAACATATTCAATTGAATCCCGCTAATCTAAAAACGTATTTATGCAGGTCCATCTTAAAACCAGTTCTTCACAAAGGAATGTCATAATAACTCTCAGAAAATGTTGAATCAATGGAAAATTAAACCGCTTCGTGCATTCTCTCTCTATGATAAACCCTAGGGCTAAGTGAGAAGTCCATCATGGTGCAAGAGCGTCGGGAAACCCTTCGGTCGCAGGATGCAATTTAAACTTACAATATGATCACATATATACAAGCTTACCAAAGAAATCGATTTTTTGCCACGAACTTAAATGATCTCAATTCTATATCTTTGTAACCTGATGATGTAAACCTTTTATATTAAGTTTAAATTATTTAATTTAAGAGAATTCATAGTTTAAAATGTCAAAGAATATTCCAGACAATTGTTCTTAATCAAGTATTTCTTCAAAGATTATGCATTTAACGTAACATATTTGGCAAAAATGTTGCTCTTTTTTAGTCTTCCGCACAGAATTTTAATAATTTCGCGATTGATTTTTCTAAGAATATTTTCTATTCCTTTATACACTGATAAATACAGGGTTAAATACTTAAGTAAAGACTGTGCAGACGGGTTGAAACAAGTAAAGCTTGACGATCCTAAGAGTAAATGAACTCTTCTGCCTTTAAGGTACAGCGTAATTTTAAGTGATCCTCCATGCGAAAATGGCAATGCCCGATTTACAACGGTACCCTTGAAAGCTTTATCTGATCAAATATGAATTAGATAGCAATGTTTATTGCTTCTTTCAACTGTTTATTTTCATTTGCGGTTTCTCTGTGAAAGTGGTAATTACGCATATTTTCTTTTTTACAAGAAGCAATGGAGAAACTCACTGAAAGAAACGCTTTTTGAGTCAGTAAAACAACTCCACATTTTTGATCAGATCAAGGTTTCAAGGGTACCATTGTACCATTGTAAATCTTGCATTGTCATCTTTGAATGGAGGGTCACTTTAAATTACGCTTTCAATCCCTTTAATATAATCATTAAATGAATTATTTAATGATTTAGCAAAGAAATAAACAAGTTTACAGATGCAAGGCATCATAAATATAAGATAAAAGACAGTATAAATTCCGTACAGCTATCTCTGAAGTCTATGGCTAGCCCGTATATTGACATATTGACAATCCTATTTTCCTGAAAAATACACCCTGTAAAATAAACGGGAATTTTATCTTGAAAAGTATCCAAAGGCCATGAATTTCTTTTTACTTTCATAAATACGAAGTGATAAGTTATGACCTACTTTATTGGAACATTTTGTGAAAATGAATATGGCTGGAAATTTAGGTTAGGCATTCTGATGAAATTGGGGGCCGAGTACTTTGGCGAGGATGCGCTAGGGGGTCGAGCGCTGCGGCTAGGATGGGCTAGCGGGTCAAGTGCTTCCTGCTAGGATGGGCTAGGGGGTCAAGTGCCGCGGCTACGATGGGCTAGGGGGTCGAGTGCTGCGGCTAGAATGGGCTGGGGGGTCAAGTGCTGCGGCTAGGATGGGCTACAGGGTCGTGCCGCGGCTAGGATGGGCTAGGGGAAACGAGTGTTGCGGATCAGACAGACTTTGGGAAGTTGTCGCTTGAGAAAGCCTTTGGGAAAGTACAGGGTTACCCACAAAGGGTGAGAACTTGTTTAGTCCGTTTTCTTGCATTTTGCTTTTATGGCAAAATTGGCTTATTTATCTTAATCAATAGAAATAGAAATACTTTATTGAAAGCAGAAAAAAAATCAAGCTTCAAATCTCCATATTATTTTAATTTTGAGTCGTCTTTACAGTCTCATTCTCTGTAGGTAACTCTGTACCTAACATTAAAATATACAGTGATAACCAGAAAACTCTGGAATAGGAAGTCGACTTTTAAACTCAAGTGATGACTTTAAATAGATTAATGACATGAGGCACAGCAACTGTGCAGTGTAAACAGACGTACTTTACTTGATAAGGGATTTAATTACTTTCTAGTAAACATTTTTCCTTTGAAACAATTTATTAAATTCACTTTAGTAAAGCTTTAATGTCGTCTTCCTATTCCATCGTTTTCTGGTTATCACTGTACTTGTTTTTTTTGTCAGATCTTTTAATTTTGCATGAATGTCTGTATTTCATGCAGACACTCAAATTTAACCTTCAAAACGGTGTATCTACTATTTACTATCTCAAGACCTTTAAAGTCTTAGGTAACCCTGTATGTAAATGATTTAGGCTTTGAATTGAAATGTCCTACCAATTAAATATTTTGTCTACAGAGGGTGTCATAGAAACAGGGATTCTTCTTTGATACACTCAACATTTTTTCTAATTTATCATGTTTATTGGAACACCCTGCCTAAGATATTCATTCAAAATATAATCACTGAAATATGTTCGGGCATTTTCTCTTGGTACACCCTGTTCTGTAAAACCATTTACAGGTTGATATGAGAGTACAGATTCAACAACACCTAGAACCTGAACCAGGATCTAGGTATAAGATCAATCTATGACGTCAAAGCCCCGGAAATTCCAGATATTACTCATCCTACCGCTATATCTCGACTCTCCAGGCTGAAACAAAACACAATTTAAAATATCATTTTTAATGTCTTGAATGCATACTGCACTATGAAAGTAGGAGGAGGGGGGGGGGGGTAGATTGTTTAAAGGTTTTCCAGGTTTTAGTGTTATACACTTTATAAAAGGTAACTGGGGAATCCCCTATTTCACGTGGTAGAGTGGTGAAATAATTAACCTTTGGTTTGGTATAAACCGGACCTAACAGCCCTCTTGAATTCAGTTGTATTCAGACTGCTAGACAATGCAGACGTGTTGTTCCTCTCTCTTCTTACTCACCACTTTATCTCTGTCACAGGGTGGGGTGGTGTTCCCCAGTGATCGTTCTAATGATTCAAGATCGTTAATCAGCTTATTTGAAAACAGTCGAGACAATATACTATCCTCACTCAGTAGACCTCACAGTTTTAGTGAGAGAGAGAAGAGGATAAAAGACAAACTCCAAACGACAATATCCCAGCTCGTTGAACTTATGTTTAAACAAGAACAGATTAAAGTGTTTAACCAAGATGAAATAAATTTTGGTGAAAATGAGACTGAAAGTAATTTTGAAACTGCAGAGGAATCTATAGAAAATATGTCAACTGAAAATATTATTTTTCAAGAAACCACCTTGACGCCGGAAACTAATGAAGAAATAACTGAGTCCAATCTAAAAGTTGATGATGGAAAATCAGAGTTTGCCAAACTGCAACTAAGACCAAGACGTCTTGATGATATCAGCGACCGTACGCTTTCTAAAATCGGAATATACAGTGATGCTGTTAACTTTGAAAACTCTGGCAACAGCTCCTTGAACGAGGTTGATGGACCCATTGAGGAGTTTGAGTGCGATGAAATCACCAATGTTTGTGGAAAGCACCCTAAGTACCCAGGCGACAAGTTTGCTCGCGCACTAGCACGTGGAAACAAATTGACCCTGAAGATGGTGGAAGCACTGGCAACCAATCCTGCTCCTGCTATTGAAGAACTTCCACAACCAGAGATGAGATCAAAACACAACATGATAGGGTTAAGAGCTAGACACAACATGCCCCAGGAAATAGGGTTAAGATCTTCTAGTTTCGAATTATTTTCAGCCCGCTCAGCCCCCTCCCCCATGAAGGGTAAAATGGAAGCTGAAGCTGAAAATATTTGTAAAACAATTAGTAAACAGGTAGAAAATGATTCATTTGAGAAATCTTCATTAAATCCAGTCAGCAAAAATAATTAATTAGACACGTTTGATAACTTGTTTCTGTTATTAATGAAATTTTGTTTTGTTTAGATAACGCCGCGGAGCGCCAAGAATATCGATGGTCAAGTGAAATGGATTCTAAACCAACCCAAGGGAGGGGAGCAATACATCCAGTTAGTTGACACCACTATATGTCAAGGTAATTTTTATTTATATTCTAAATTTATATCTAATGGGACCCTTCAAATCTTATCAAGAATGACGAAGACATCCTAGTTTTTCGAGCTGAACATTGAGCGCCTTCAAAAACCTTTTCACGTCATGCGAATTAATTTTCAGTTGAACAAATATGAATATCTCTATCGTCGATAATGAGACAAAGGTGTTAGCTGGGTACCATTGTGAATTGGATATTTTACTCTGTAAATGGAAATTACGTCTACAAAAGCTTCTTTCGATTTAAAAAAATCAATTATTTTAATTTGTTTAAATTCATTCATTCATTCATTAAGATTCTCAGCAGATTCAATACATAGTATTGTTGATAGAAAAATTGCATTGAACACAAAAATACACATATTATTACATCACCCCTTGTATTTAGCGATACTGCAGCTTTCTGAAAATTTTCTATAGATAAGACATTTAATTAAATAAAAAAATAATAGATTAATTTTGTAGGTGAGGGAAATGAGTGTCTAAGTGGTCTTGTCTCCGGTCATAAAACTCAATGTAAACAGCAGTACAGTGTACATAAATTGTTGGCGCTCAGCGACAATGGTGATGAATTAGTGATTGATACGTTCAGGTGATGCACTTTTTATCAATATTTTTTTATAATTTTTTTTTTGTCTACATGAAAATAATAAATCTGTGGAATAGAAAGACGACTTTTAGTCTCAAATAGTCCAAATAGTAAAATAGTCTAAACAGATTTAACATTAACCCTGCAGTTTACTTGATCAAGGGATTTTTAAGCTATTTGTGAAAGTATTTGCTTCATTACATCAAATACACGTTATATTGATTAAATTTTGTCTTCCATTTCCACAGTTGTATGGGCGTCTATCTGTGTAAACAGGGTTACCCAGACAGGATTAGACTGTAAAGACGACCTGAAACTCATTAAATATGGCGATATAGGTTGAATTAAGTCTTCTACCTTAAATATTGTCTTTTAATGGCTTATTTAGTGATTAGTCAACAAAAGAAACAAGTTTACAGTCTGAAGTCTTATTCTTTGTGGGTAACCCTGTATATTTATAAATTATCTTTAATTGGGAAATA